CCATGGGGATCGCGACGAAGGGCATGCGCCAGTAGAACCTGTCTGACAAGCGTGCGAAGAAGATGGCCGAGGCAGCGCCGCAAAAGTACGGTGGGACCGTCATGAGCTGCGCGGCGGTGTTGTTGAAGCCCATGGCCTTCGTGATGGTCGGCAGCGTAAACTTGGTACCGTAAGAACACGCCGAGGTGGCGAGGAGCGCCCACGCCTGCATATACAGCCTCCAGTTCGTAACGACGGCCTTGAGATCGTGCCACTTGAACTTGTCCTCCTGCTTCTCGTCCTGGAAGCGCCCGCCCTGCTTGATGAAGTGCTGGATCTCGAGGAAGCGGATTTCTTCAGGCGTGAGCCATTTTCCGCTGAGGGAGGGGCGGTCGATGAGGAGGAAGAAGGTGGCGATGCCGAGACCGACGGTGAAGATGCCCTCGAGGATGAAGATCCAGCGCCAGCCCTCGTAGCCGCCTACGCCGTCCATCTTTGCGATTGCGGCGGCGAGGAGGCCTGAGAAGGCGCCGGAGAGGGCGGATGTGCAGTAGAACCAGGCGATGCGGGCTGCCAGGTCGCGACTGTTTGAAGTTATTAGTGGAGAGCCTTTTGAGGAAGAGTCAATGAGTTACTCACGGCAAGTACCAGAAGGTGCAGAGGTACACGGCACCAGGGTAGAAGCCGGCTTCAAAGACGCCAAGGAGAAGACGGACGCTGAGAAGGCCGGCAAAGTTCTTCACGACGCCGTGGCAGGTCATGATGACGCCCCATATTGTTACGAGAGTGCCGAGGTATACGGATGGACGGTTGAACTTTTTGAGGATGATGTTGCTAGGGACCTCTACATAGGGGTTAGTAACTTGAAGTAAACCGGTGTAGTCTGAATGGAAGGGGGTGAAACATACCAAGCAGGACATAGGGAACGAAGAAGAGACTGAGAGCAATGTTCCACTGCACACCGCTAAGCTTCAGGTCCTCGGCCAGACCTTCAATCTTGGCGTTGCCAATGTTGGCGCGGTCGAGATGGGAGATGAGATAGAGAACCGCAAGCATCGGCACCAAGCGAACGTCGATCTTTTCTTGTCGTTAGCCACCAATCTTACTTCCGTTTCGAAGCCATCACCATGCTGTTGCTAGAAGATGCTAGGGTATGAAATAATCAAAAATACCTTGCGAATCGTCTTCTTGCGCTGCTCCGGCGTGAAATTGGCATAAAACTCGGCATCGTCCTCGCTGAGCCCAAGAACGCGCACATCGTCGATTATGCGCACCACGGGCGCCTTCTCTGAGTCGGACCGGGCGTCGTCTTCCCTGTCGTCGACAAACGAGATTTCGGGCTTGTCTGTTGTGGACATTTTGACGGACTATGTCAGAAGTCTTTTTCTTTTCCGGGCTGCTTTGTTCCGGTTGTAGCCGTTGCCGTCGGCGGTTTGCGATATGATACACTTAACACTTTAGAGAAGAGAAATGAAGTTAGAGGGATGTAGAGGAGGAGGAGGGAGGGAGGGAAGAAAAAGGGGATGCTTCTGGCCTAAAGAAGAGAGGAAAGAAGAAGTAGCAAAAGTTGAAGCAATGATCTCGAGATATACGCTCATATGTATGCCTCGGACGACTACGAGGGAGGAGTAAGGTAAGGTAGTCAAGGCTAGGTAGCTAAAGGTAAATGGAGGCTCCAAGAAACACACAAGCGTACAAACCCGAAAGAGACAACCAGGTACAGACTTGGCACAACCACGGTGTTGGATCCTCCCAGGAAAGCCGCACTACTCCACGACACTACTACCACCTCTGGCCTCTTGGCCCGGCCCATTCTCTCTCCCTCGGTCTCTGTCTCTGCCTATCTCGCCCGTGGTACCTTGTAGCTTCCCCCTCGAGCCCGTGATGGCTGTGTGGGGTCCCCGCAATCGCGGAGACCCGGCCGCTGTGGATTTGTGAACCCAATGGACTACGTAGATTAAGTGCAGTGGATAGTGGTTTGAAGCCGTGAGAGAAGTTTTGCATATGCTGGCTGGTGGATGTGTTTATCCGTCAAGATTCTGACGGATTTCCAAACACGCACCAAAGACCAAAGGGGAGGGAACCACTTTTAGTCGAATGTTGCTGGCATCTGTCATGTAAGAATATGGACACGACGGATTTGTACCCACTTTGGTTTGCGCTCTTCTGGTGGCTGTTCTCTAGCTTGACGGACTTGTCTCTAGCCTCGTTGCTTGTTCTCCCGGTACTACCCTTGCCATCTTGAAGAAGGGAAGGGACATGGTAGATTGATCTCAACATGACCTAGGTTATCGGTTATCGTCAAGTCACACTGTGACATGGAAAGCTGATGGCATCCGTGCGGTTCCGACAGAGAGGATGAACTAACGGACTTGTCAACCCTCCGTCCACGTCAATCTCCAGCCCATGTCTCTCGAAAAAGCTTCGCCCTTTACCACGCAAACCACACAGACACAGATACGAAAGAAAAAACAGACATCCGGCAGTTGGAGGCTGCGGAGAATAAACCCAGCCAACCAGCCATCGCGACGGGGAATGCTTAATCCCCAAATCCCCCGAAGACGATCTCCCTGGGCGCAATCCCCTCCTCTCCCCTCTTCGACTAGAATCCTCCCGTCTTCTCCCGCGTCAACCTCAACCACCCCCATTCGTACGACAGCTACGGCCGTCACACTCAATTCTCGTGCGGGGAAAGTGTGATGCGGGGGCTGACGGACTTTGGAGATAGTCGACAGGGTGCTGACAGTCGCATCATCTCTGCGGGTTCAGGTCATACAGTCAAGGTCATGCACGCGTAGGAGAGTAAGTGGAAGTGGATTAACAATTTCGTTATAGATTCATATACTTCGTCGGAATTAAATACATGCATTACAGCATTACGTTCTTACGTCCATCATTTCCATAGTCAAGTCTCTCTTCCCGCTCGGCGCTCGGTGCAGCACACAGCACACATCGCCAGCCAGAGACAATAGCAATACCCTCCACCATCAGCACTCTATACCTGCACATCCTTCTCAGAGTGCGAGACGCGAATCTGCTGGTGGTAGTTATTCATCGCCTTCTCGTCGACGGCACCCTCCTCAAACACGTCGACGGTAGTGCCCTCGAACTTGCGCGCGGCAATCTTGTGCTCAAACAGCTTGTCCAGCTCGGCGTAGGTGCGGCCGCGGGGCTCGGGGACGCGGAAATAGGTGTACACGCAGCAGAGGAAGCAGATGCCGCCCCAGAAGAAGCCCGTGTAGTTTTGCCAGTTCCACGCGCTGGGGTTGAGCATGTACGGCGTGAGGACGTTGTTGATGATTCCGACGATGTTGCTGTGGGGGTGACGCGGTTAGCATTTGTTCCCGATTCAGAGAGCGAAAACATGTGCGATGGAAACTTACTAAAGGTTGCGGCCAAGGACGACAGTCTTGATCTGCAGGCGACGCGACGGCAGTTCACTGACGAGCGAGTAGCATACGGTGCCGACGGTAAGCTGGTAGAAGAGAGCCCAGACCATCATGATGCTGCCCGTCGCGAGCGCGCCCTGGTCGCGGTGTTCGGACGGCACGAGGCCCAGGAAGCCGAGGATCATAAGCATGCTGCAAAGACCGCAGAGGCCATAGAGATACAGCGTGCGACGGCCGATGCCCCACGACATGAGAAACCACGCGCCAAAGACACCGACCATATTGATGGCGTACTGGCCGAGCGCAAAGTTGTACGAGTTTCTGGTGGAGAGACCGGCCTGCTTGAGGAAGTATCTGCGTGCATCATCATGTTAGTCTGGTGCCTTTACAACCCAAGCATTAAGAATGCACAATGCCAGAGACTTACGTAGAGTAGTTGGAGAAGGAGTTGCCGCTGAGGTTCTGAATGGCCCAAACCATGCACACGATCTCGGTGCGGCGCAGGTCGACACCCTTGAAGCAGTCCAGGTAGGATGCGCCCTCCGTAATCTTCTCCTCAATCGAGTTGGTGTGTACCATCATGGCGACCGTCTCATCGGCGTCGAAATCAGTCTCCTTGTCTCTGCTCGTCAAGCGCAACAGCGACTTCTTGGCCTCGTCAATCTTGCCCTTGCGTACCAGCCACCAGGGCGACTCGGGCGCAAAGTAAATGCCAATCGCCAAAGGCACTGGCCACATCCACTGCAAGGCATAGGGAATGCGATATGCCCACTCGTCCTGGCGGTCGAGCATGGACACGATGACGCCGATACCAATCTCCTGGCCCATACCCCAGCAAAAGTTGACATAGGTCGTCAAGTAGCCGCGCAGGGCGACGGGGCAGACCTCGGAGGCATAAGTGATGCACAGCGTCTGGAAGACACCCCATGGGATACCGCAGAGAATCTCGGCGGCGAGCAGAGTCTGGACGTTTTGCGCGGTGAAGAAGATTGTGGTGAAGGCGGCGACAAGCAAAAGACATGTGATGACGGTCCACCTGTAGCCGAAGCGTTCCGAGACCCATCCGTTGATGAAGAGACCGATGATCTCGCCAACGGTGGCACCGTTGCTGAGGCCGGCTTGCCACGGCGCAGGGACCTGGTAGGATCCGTCGGCGGTGAGGACGCCGTACTTTTGGTTGAATTGCGGAAAAGCGTAAAAGTTGCTGACGAGACTGATGTCGTAGCCCTCCATAGCGATGCAGGTGGAGATGAGCACACTCCAGGCAATGGCCTTGGGGTAGAGCTTAATGCCCTGCATCAGAGTCATCTTGTGCTCCTTATCCGTGGCCGCTTTGGCGTTCTGGACAAAGTTGCTGGCGAGCTTGGCCGAGTGGTGATCGCCGATCTCGGCCGAGACGCGGTCTGGAGCGGCGACCACATCGTCGTGCGCCGATTTGGACTCCATCGTGAATGGGCTGCGGGGAGAGTTGCGTCACGTTGCGTGGCGTGGTGGAGTTGTTGTTGTTGTTGTTGATGAATGTTCTCAAGGAGAAACCGAATTCTCTCGAGGTTCTGCGGCGATGCACACACTATCTCGTGCTGCAAAGGGGAGATTGCGCGCACAACGAGGGGTCGTTGAGCGTTGCCAAGGCTGGCGTTGAGCGGATGTGGTGAGAAAAAGAGCTCTGAGAAAGCGGCCGCGCTGAGAGATGCTGCTTGCTGAAGAGGAGATCGTCAAGAGGTGGAGATTGGGGGGAATCGCCGGACGTTATATAACAACAAAATATTCGCGCGCGACGGGAACGAACGGTCCTGGATTGTGTGGGACAATGGCTACGGGCCTACGGCTTCGATGGGAAAACCCACAAAAGAAAGGGCTCGAATTTTTTGACGAAGTGCGAAAGACTGGGGCCGGGACATTGAACATGTCTGGTTGTTTGATTTGATTTGTTCCGTTCGGTATCGCGCGTCCTCTTTTTTTGTGGTCAAATAAACAAGGGCAATCTTCCGATAGACCAGTCGTCAGCTAATGGAAGGATGAGGAGAATCCTGTGCCGAGAAGACCAGGGGACTGGTCAAAGTTACCGAAGCCGTCGCAACTCGCAAGGGGCCTTTGGACGCCTTGGAGGCATGGAAGAGCAGAAAAGGGAGCTAGCCATTGGGCAGATTGGTTCTCGTCGGCGAGGGGTACCCGTTCATCTTTTGATGGCAGATGCTGGGGTAATTTGGGACTTGGGCGCGATAAGGTAAAGCGACGTGACATTTCTGTCGTCGGGGTGCCGCCCAAGGGGGGTTGGCGTGTTTCTGTGTCATGACAGGGTGCGTTCGAAATCTGCCAGGCCGTCAGGTTGGGACGGAGATGGGAACCCTTTGCTGCCATTGAGTTTGTCTGGGCCAACTCTAGCGTGCGGGGGAAGTTTGAGCGTCGCCATGTTGGTGGTGTCGAAATGGTCAGCTGAGCGGCCGTTGAATCGTTGGTTGCGTGCAGACCCAAGCCATCGGGAAGAAGTCCATGGCTGCTGCAGCCCAGGAGGGCGGGGAAGAAAAGTCCAGGTTCAGCCTTCAGGTGCGTGAGTACGGCGTAGTGAGGGTGAGAAACGAAGATAGAGTTGGCGCCGGTAACGTGGGAGGGAAGGGCGGGCGAATGAAAAGAAAACCATTGAGAAACTCGTTCGACTTTGCTGAAGAACCAGAGGCCCGGGAACAATTGAATCCAAGAGCCCAGAAGAGCCAACAAGAGTCTTCAAGTATCTGCGCCAACTTGCTTGTTGGCATGACACGGTATGTTGGGTACCGATAGCGAAAAAGAGAGAGCGCTGGGAACCGTCGGAGTGGCTCGGCCATCGGCGTCTGCTGGCCTTTTGAGACTGGCCTGAAGTGCCCAGAAACTGGCAGAGTCTGAACTGGTTAAAAAAAGGGGACCCTGACTCCCTCCAAAACTGAGTGTGTGTGCCGTGTGCGTGTGTCGTGAGTGGAGAGGTGTCGTCGGATGTGCTGCTGACCAACTCGCATCCCCACACACGTCACTGGTCGTCGCCCCGGACTCAAGCTTCAATTCAATTTCAGATCTGCTCAAAAATCGAGGGGCTCCCCCAGATCTTCTCCATCTTCCCCGGGTTTCAATCATTTCATTGCAGCCTCAACTGGGGGCTCGGAAAGAATTGCAAGTGGCACAAGTGCCATGCCGTCTCCCGAAGCGCCTGATTCGCTAAGTGCCACGACCTGGTGAGTGAGACTCTGTTGATCCACCCGAGGAGGGGCGGGCCTCTCGGGGAAAAACACCTGTTCTGGAGGCGTCAACTTTGGAGGCCATTCGCACCGACGGCGACACGGACGGCGGCGCCGCTCACCTTGAGCGCAGGGTGCCGAGCAGATTTCGGCGAGAGATGAAGGCAATGAAGCTCTCGCCGGTGACGGCAAGGTGAAGAAGGCTCAAGGTCGTCGTTGTCGTCGTTGTCGTCGTTGTCGTCGTTGTCGGTTGCTGTTCTCCCGCTGAGGAAGAGTGAGGAAGTCCGTTGCGATGGCTCTGAACTTGCTCTGTGAGAAAAGAGGCAGCTGTGGAGAGTTAGCCGGTGGGAGAGAGCCGCAAAGTTTGACAGAGATATCATGATCGAGAACGAGCTTGCTGACTGTGTTTGATCCGTGCAGCGAGCAGTGTCGCGAGCAGCACCTGCGATGTGATCGCGTGCTGCCCATCTGCGGGCGGTGCTTGATGACGGGGCGCGAGTGCAAGAAGGGTTACAAGTTTCGCGCACCCAAACACGCCGTATTCAGAGAGAGCCACAAGTGGCCTGCGCCGCCAAAGAAGCTCAAGTTCATCGACGAGACTCGCGGTGTCGAGCTCGGTGAGGACCTCGACAGCAATGAGTCCGTACACGACTCGGCGCCGGACATTGACGAAGTAGGAACAGAAGCCGCAACTGAAGTTGCCTCCACCTCACCGGGGACGGCTACAGTCGTAGACTCGACAGTCTCAGACGATCAGCGCCGGCCGTCAATATACGCCGCAAAGGCGGCGAGCTGGCCTTTGCCTGGCGACGAGAGCCGACCCGGCGCCAAAAGCGTTGTTGATGGCGCTGACGTGGTGGACGAGCCTGTCCAACCTCCGCATCGAATATCGTTGAGCACGCCCGGCGCCGACAACCACAGCCAGCACGGGAGCCATCGCGAACATTCTGGCTCCGTCGTGAGTCTGCCGCCCGTGCAGTCCATGTTGCCGCCGTTGGACGGCATATACACCGATCGACCGATATGGCCCATCCAAGGGCGAAAAGAAGCCACGCTGTTCCGTCATTACGTGGACAAACTTGGATTCTGGGTATGTTGAAAAAGCTGCGGGCTGGCTTGCTTTTTTGAACCGGCGAAGAAACCAAACTAACCGGAGCACCAGCTCGATGCGTGTGATCCCTCCAGACATTTCGAGGTCGAAGTACCGCAGCGTGCCGGCTCGTGTCCCATCTTGCTCAACGCCATCTTCGCCCTTGCCTCGAGGCATCTCAGCTTGACGAGCGCATACGACTCGCTGGCGTCGAACCGGTACCACGAGCAGTGCCTCAATTACTTGATCCCGCTGCTGGACCACGCAGGAACAGTGTCGGACGAGAACTTGTTTGCTGCAACAATCATACTCCGCGTGCTGGAAGAAATCGATGTAAACACCCTAGGCCAGGACACGCACGGCCACCTGCTCGGAATTCACGCCTTTGTCAACGCCGGAGACCGTTTCCTTATGCCGGGAACTTTGACGGCCGCATGCTTTTGGGCAGGACTGAGGCAGGAGATCTACAGCGCCGTCATCAACCAGCAAGTGGTCCGAATGAACCTCGGTCATGCCATTGTCGACCGATCCACCACCCCGGCCGACGACTTTGTCTGGGCGAATCGTGCCATTGTCCACTGCGCCGATGTTCTTAACTTCTGCTTCGGGTCCGAGGCGGGGTCGGTGCTGCAATGGGGCCAACTGGAAATGGCAAACAGAGAATGGAAGAACGCGCTACCGCCTTCGTACACTCCCATCTTCTTCCGAGAGAGGACAGATGAGGAGGCTTTTCCCGAAGTATGGTACCAGAAGGCGTGTCATAGTGAGTATAACCCTGGTCTGGTCCCGGTCTGATCTGGCCTGATCTCGGAATTGCTTCCGGACACGGAGAGTATCTCAGATACCCGACGATCCGAAAGGCTGGCTCATGGCAATCCTCATCTTGAGTAACCGCTTACTAACAACTCCTTGATAGTCATTGCCGTTCAACACCACATTCTCGCCGAAATGTACCTCGTGCTGTTCAATCCGAGCATACCACGAGTCGGCGGCGGTCGTAAGGCCGCGGAGAAAAGGTTGACCCAGCAGATTCAGGATCTCCTGCGGAGTCTTTGTGGAATTGGCATGTGTAACCAATGGTCACCGCCAGCCATGTTCACGGCGTGTATGGGTATAGCCATCGGTAAGTTTTGCTTTTTTGTTTCCACTTGCTCCTTCTTTCGTTGCTTTTTGCCTGTTTCTGTAGCCTTGATAACTCGAACGTTCCGAACAGTAGACTGACTTGGACCTTTTCCAGCCGGTGATCGGTTCGACACCAAACATGACCAAGAAGCTTTGCTGAAGATGCTCAGCATCACCGAAAAGGCCCACGCAAGACCCACGACAGCGGTGCGGGATCAGCTGATGCACGCATGGGGTTGGATGGACGGGGAGGCAATGAGCGAGGATTGAGGAGCACAGGGTGACCGCCCACTCCGCCTACCCCAGACCGCAGAGGTTGGCAGAGGCGGGGTTCAGAGACATGCGTAGGCGAACTGAACTGGCGGCAAGCCAGTCGCCGAGAAGATGTTTGATGAAAGACTCTTTCATTGGATCACGATAATGACTGCTGGCGAGACACGAGAGAGAGATCGCCTCTCACTAGGATTGGAATGGATCACGATAGACTTGGTGCATGGGGCTGGACTGAACTGAACCGGACAGGACTGGATACGTCCCCCGGACTTGGATTTCGCTTGGTTTACAATCTGTGGATACCCGACTCGATAGTGTAGGAGCGTGATGATGCCGTGTTTGTAGCGGCAGGAATTGGCTGGCCTGGCTTGGCTGGCTGGAACAGTAGTATAGCATGCGATGCAGGCTGAAAGCAATCGGACATATTTCGCGATTCCATCTCCTTGGTCCCTCATTGTCCGCGGGTTATCGCTGGCCAACCTGATCTCGAGAGTGTCTGATTTCAAAGATGGTGATGCTCACGGGCTCCCCGCACACGACGCACACGGCGTTCCATCCACATGGCGCCCATATACGAATAGATGAGCATCGTCGTGTAATGCCGGCTGGTCTGAGCTTGAAACTGACAGCTGCCGTGGCACATTGGAACACGTAGGGACCATCCAGATCCCGCGGGGTTGTTTGGGAGGCGTGGGGAAGCCAGCAGGTCTTGGCCAAGCTCGCCCTGGATTACCGTCAGGGACGACATTGGGAAGGAGGCCCCGAAGCTGTGACGAAGATTGATGTCAGATGTGTTCGTTTTGGGCGAATCGAAGGCTCCGAAGCCAAGAATCTCGGGAGAAGGCCGGGACGGACACCGGGTGACGATGAGGGGAGAGGTCTGGTAAGGTCTGGGCAAGGGACCACTGGGATGTCCCCCTCCGGCAAGTGTTCTATATCCAATCAGTAGGAAGCCATTACTGAAAAGAGGAGAGGAATCCGCGGGGATGGAGATGTCCTGCATTGAGCGGGAATGGCGTTGGTTGGCGTTGGCAGGGGGCGTCGAGGTCTGCGTGGCAGCCAAGTGCCAAAAGAGGGAATAATCAAAAATAGTCTGCAAATCCCATGATGAAGGCGGCGGGGCTAGAAGGTCTCGTAGGGTCGTGGAGGGGTGGACCGGGGGACAAGCGATTAAGCTTTGCCGCAGAAAAGAACCCAAGATTGGCAGAGACGCAAGGGCGCCGTCACATTGCATCGATTCTGGCCATCCCGGAATGCGGTTGGCGTGGAGTCGTGGAGGTCTGGAGAATGGGCGAAGCGGGATTGAAGGTGTGGAAGAAGCGTTCAAGCGTTTGCGACTAACAAGGATGGCAGTCGTGGATCTCGGGATTCTTTGCCCTTATTGTCGAGAGTTGACGAGAGGTCAAAAGTTTTGGAAATTTCAGCGACTTGCACGAGTCTCCGTTCTGTCCAAATTGGGATTAGTCGCGGAACCCCAGAGTCATGTGAGATCATGTGACCGGAAATTCTGGCTGCTTCTGTCCCAGCGAGTGAAGAGTGGGTCCATTAACAGAATTGGGTGGGTCCTCTTCCAGCAAGAATTCGGCGATTTTCTCCTCTTCCAACTGCGCAAAACTTGGAATCCCCTCGCCGGGCTCGCCTTTCTTCGTCGCAACGTCGCAACTCTCCAGGGCCTCTCCACAGATCTGAAATCTCGCCCCGTCTTTCCTGCTCCATCTGGATCATAACCACTCTCCGCGGGGCATAGTTCTGCACGGGCAAGACAAGGGCCATGCAGATGACGACCCTTCACGGCAAAAACGTCAACTCGGGCTGCTTGTCCAAGTTAGCCTTTTGCCCACACCAGTACGGATACCCGGTGCTGCCATGACGAGGTACCTGGCCCGAATATTGCGTCTGGCGGGCAAGACCAGGTACCTCGCCATGTCCGAGTTTTTTCCCGTCCTACTCCTCCGTTACTCTTCTCGCCCTTCGTAATCTTCATCTTCTGTGATCTTGTCTTCAACAACATATTTAAAGACTATCTCCAGATACCTACCTCTCCCTCATTTTGTTCATCATCAAACCAGTCTTCAGCATTTCGAGTGATACCCCCATTGAAAGACCATCATATATCGACTCTTTCTTCATATCGAGCTGTAATCTTTTTTTGACCTTCTGCACCAAACTCTTCAACTTTTCGACTTCTCAAACTACCGTCACAATGGCTGCTGCTGTCGCCACCCCTTACGTCCGCACCGACGGACACGCCCTCGAGGAGACCACCGACTTCGTCGAGGAGGTCAACATCCTCAAGGACCAGTACAACAAGGCGCAGAACGACTACGAGGGCGAGTCCAAGTTCGACTCAGAGAAGGACAAGACTGCTTTCCGCCAGTACGAGGATGCCTGCGACCGCGTCAAGACCTTTTACAAGGAGCAGCATGAGAAGCAGACCGTCGAGTACAACCTCGCTGCCCGCAAGAAGTTTGCCATCGACCTTACTGGCAAGATCCCCTGCCGCGATGAGATGACCATCTGGGAGGCCATGGAGAAGCTCAACACCCTCATCGACAACTCGGACCCCGACACCGAGCTCTCTCAGATCCAGCACTTGCTCCAGACCGCCGAGGCCATGCGCCGTGACGGCAAGCCCCGCTGGATGCAGCTTACCGGCCTGATCCACGATCTCGGCAAGCTCCTCTTCTTCTACGGAGCCGAGGGCCAGTGGGATGTCGTCGGTGACACCTTCCCCGTCGGATGCGCCTTTGACAACCGTATTGTCCTCCCCACCACCTTTGAGGGCAACCCTGACAACACCCATCCCGTCTACAGCACCAAGAACGGCATCTACGAGCCCGGTTGTGGTATCGAGAACCTGATGATCTCTTGGGGTCACGACGAGTACATGTACACCGTCTGCAAGGAGCAGTCCAAGCTTCCCCGTGAGGCTCTCGCCATGATCCGTTACCACTCCTTCTACCCCTGGCACCGCGAGGGCGCCTACCGCGAGTTCATGAAGGAGGGTGACGAGGACCTTCTCAAGGCTGTCCTTGCCTTCAACCCCTATGACTTGTACAGCAAGTCCGATGACGCCCCCACCGTCGAGGAGCTCAAGGTATGTTTCTTACTCTCACTCCACTTAAACCTGATGATAAAGCTAACAATGCGACAGCCCTACTACATGGAGCTCATCGACGAGTACTTCCCCAGCAAGGTCATCAAGTGGTAGATACGCCCTTTCAATAGTCATGTTACGACGGGTACGAAATGAGATGGGGAACTTTTTGGCATACACGCCCTGGGACATGTGTTCATGTCGCCAGAGGCATGGCGTTTTAACTGGGATATTTGATGAATACATCTGAGCGGTCTTTGTGTGCGAATGAGATAAAACCATGGCCAGAAGAAGCCATGACGAGTCAACTGAAAGTACTCGGGTTCAGGAAGTCTAGAATTTCATTGATAGACTAGCGCTCTGAAGAAATTGATGCAGCGCAAAAGCACTGGACCATGTGATGATACCCTCGCTGTTGATCCACTTAGTCTCACCGAGTATTGCCAGCACCTCATTTCTTATGAAATGACAATTTGTAATTTGCGTGTGTTTCATGACAGCCACGTCCAAAATCAGTCGGTTGCTTCACTCACCTCATCACACCAAACTTTGACGGCGCAGATAGCAAACGAAACTCATCGTCTTTCAACCCCAAAGCTTCATTTGATCATCCATCATCGTGATCGAGTATACCTTCATCTCACTGACTAGCAGTCACTTGAGATATTGAGACCATACGTTTTCTGCTCATTAAGACGCAGGCTGTTTGTCAACCTGAACCAAGACTTCAGTGTTGGATTACTTGCCGAACACCCAGGACCATGGTATCTCTCATCGCACACGCGCGCCAATTGAACAACTGCTTACAAATCGCCACATCGAGATAAGAAGAGACTTCTGATTCGGCAGCCAACTTGAATCCGCTGTCCAATGGTATGAGGGCATTATCACAACTTGTCGGTAACGGGATACCTTACTTACTGGAGGCTCGATGGTTACCCGGGCCAGAGAGGCCCACATCACCGAGAGATGGGCCCGCATACGGAGCCGGTCGGTGCATCTGTCTTTGCCCTTACCCCGGGTCATCACATGGACCATCCAAAGAAGCTGTACGACTTTTCTCGTTTTTGGGAGTAGTGGCCATCTCGAACTGTACAACCCACGCAAAACAATGTCACCAGAGGATTGGCAGATGTTCTTTTCCGCACACGGGCCAATCGATCCAACCTGCTTGATCCCTTGGCAGGATTCGAGGCCAAATTTCTCCTCCAGCCCTGAGGCCAAATCGTGCACTTACCAACGACCCACAAACGCACCCACAAGCACACAAAACCGTGAGGTAGACATCGTGACCCAACGGAGAACGGTCCACAAATTCAGAGCCCTAATGACCACCTTGTGCTCTCGCTCTCTCAATCAATCAATACCCATAATCAAGCACAATAGCTCAGGGGTAGAGCGCTGGGCTCATAACCCAGAGGTCCCTGGATCGAAACCAGGTTGTGCTATCGTTACTTTTGACTTTTTGGTCTTCTCCTACTCCAGATCCAAGGTGCACTTGCGCTCTCTTTATATTGAGTATTGGCGGTACATTTCGATGGAACAGGCCAGTTGCTTTCTTTATTCCTCGAAGATTTAAATATGAGGCCATCACTGACTATGCTTGGACGAATTCGACAATGTGTAAAACTGATGACCAGAGAGCCTCAGAGCACGAGTGAACCATGTTTCTTCACTATGTTTTGCCCGTTGGCTTTTGCACCACCACTGACCGTTCCCCAGCCCTTACGGATTGGTTCATCTCATGTTTTCCAACCCGCTTGACCAGGTTCGTCGGACTCAAAAGACATCCGTTTGCCGACCTCATAAAGGTGCAAGCGTTGCCTGTTCGTTTACTACAATGAATGTCGTTGGGTCTGAATTGAGCCTTATGTTCGCCGACTTGGCGATTAACCATCCTGCAGGCGCGCGCATCTTGGCCACAGGTCTGACTTGACCTAAACATCTCAAATATGTACTCCCACCCGCCACAAATAAATGCTACACCAAAGACGGCGAAACGGGAATTCTCGAAATGCTTTGCAACGCTCATCTAACGTGTACCAGCACCACGGTTCACGTCAAATTTGACACCCGCACGTCTCCTTGGCTGAGTCCTCGGTAAGAAAGCAATGTGGCAAGGGAAGAAAGATTCGCTTACCCGTCCATCGAACAAAGTCGTTTTAGACGTTTTGGTTCGATCCTCGGGCAGAAGATGAAATCCTTCAAAGTTTTCGATCCTCTTACCCCCAGTCGTCCTTCTCATACAACCGCACGGCCAATTTTTCAAGACCGTCAACCGCGCCACATGCGCCGGCCGAGGGTTGGAGGGGCACTGTGCCTAGCTTCGAGCTTCAGCCTTTTTTTCTCTTCCTTTCAGAGGTGGCATGTTCGTGGGGGAAGCGAAAGCACGGCAGAGCAGAGCAGACAGAGAGAGGACATAGCGGGGCGACAGATGCACCTTGCCGCTTGCCGGCGGCCGAGCGTTGGACATTTTGAAAGGTGATGGAGTTTTTGATACATGGTATAGCCACACTGCTCAGACCTTTTTGCTGCCAAACGCAAGATACGCTTTGCTTACGCAGGGCCAAGACACGGCCGAAGACGACCGCTGCGTTCGACGAATCGACACTATGGGCTGGAGAAAGCACATGAAGAGGCTTGATCAGAGACAATGTTGCCACACAGGAAGATGGGGTCTAGGCCGTGGCGACTTTCTCAGTTTTTGGCTAAACCCGGGGTAGGAACCGTAGGATCAACTAGCTAAGGAATATCATACAGGATTCTCAACTCTGAGCCGCATGGTTTGACGATAGAAGAGAGAATGTCACGAAATATCCAACGGCGCTTAGAGACGCGCAGCTGACGAAGGGAAAGTGGCTTTCCAGTTTCCTGATGAATCATCATGCAACCGCCAAACGAGACTCCTCCGTCTCAGCAGACGCGCTTGTCTCTTTCTCTGATGCCGATATACCCTTGATTACAACGGGAAGTCATACGAACCCGAAAGCCGCCCGAGAGCTGCATGGTGGCGGCCGTCTATCCTGAACCCCCATACCTCCCCTCAGATTGCCTCTCGCCTTGCAGCCTACCTCAGTCTGAAGTGTCCCTCTCGCGTGCCTGTACTCAGCAGCCAGGAGAGCGGACCTTGGTTCCGGCGGCCGGGTAGAGGCGAACATGCATTCAGAGTTACCCACCTCGGGCTTTTCTGACACTCGTGATAACCGCCCACCAAGGCGGCCATGGACCCAAAGATCGCTTGGTACCCGGGGCCGACTGTCAGGAACTACCTACACACAAATCCAACCGCAGTCAAACTACACATACGCTCACTCCCACTCAGACTGTTCCAAACATCATCCCATCTCCATTTGCCTTCCCTCCTCAGCCCGAAGATATTGAAACTAACCCGCCGTCTTGGTGCCGCCCGTCTTGGTATAAAGCTATCTGGTTGGTACGTGAGTGGGTGTAGGAACGACTCTCTTTCCCTCTCGCGGCGCAAAATCCAACAGGTTCCTACGTTTCGCAACGCTCGACCGAAAAGGCTAGATCACGGTCCATCTCCGAACGACAGCACCGTGCTCCCTTTCTTGAGGTTAATCGCGCGGTGGCCAATATATCCCAGCGCAGGTTTTCCTACCTTATCTAAAGGTTGGGTCGACCGTTGAAGAGTTGGAATTTCTGGAAGCTCTCCTTTTTTTACGTCGAACGAACAAGATTGTCATAGAGAGATTAATACTGGGCGGACTAGGTAACCTACTTCCATATGGATTGCTACTTCACAAACCGAGCATGTGCTGACTTAGATTCCAGGGTTATTCACATAATACTCTCACAGCCCTCGGCATACGCATAAGCCAAATATTGTTAAGATGAGGTCGACACTCTCCAAAAGCGCGCTCTTCTTCCTCTATGGCCTAGCAGCAGCCGTCCCCTCGCCGTCGTCCAACACTGGTGTTTCGAGGAGGCAGGACAACGCACAGCCTGGCTCGTCAGCCCCTGCGGACTCCGACCAAGGGCCTAAGTCTTGCAACACTGCCGACAACAGACAGTGCTGGGTTGAAGGGTTTGACATCAAGACTGCTTACGAGGAGTCGATCCCGGATACGGGCGTGACTAGAGAGGTTGGTTGACGCGCGTACTCTGAGGGTTACGCCGTGCTAACAAGTTGGACAGTATGACTTGGTTCTCACCGAGCACACCTCTTTCCAAGGTCAAGATGGCATGGCCAAGAACACGGCGATGTTGATTAATGGTAGGCGAGAATCTATTCTCTCTTCCACGTAGTTGTGTGCTGACTCAAGACCTTTTAGGTGGCTTCCCTGGCCCGAACATCAAGGCAAATTGGGGTGATAAGATCAAAGTCAGGGTCGTGAACAATTTGAGAACGAATGGGTAAGTAACCACAGCAATGATGCGCACCTATCTTTAGAATGTTGACTCGCTGACAACCACACAGAACCTCAATGCATTGGCACGGCCTGCGAATGCTGAACAACAATCAGAACGATGGCGTCAACGGTATCACTGAGTGCCCCATCCCGCCAGGAGCCAGCAAGACCTACGAGTGGCGTGCCGAGCAGTATGGTTCATCATGGTACCACTCGCATTTCTCCGACCAGTATGCGAACGGCATTGCCGGTACTATTCAGATAGACGGACCTACCTCCAAGAACTACGACGAGGACCTCGGCACCTACTCCATCACGGATTGGTACTACAAGTCTGCCGACGAGATCCGCTCCACCTTCACTGCCCCTGCTGCCGTTCCCGCCAGTGACAACATCCTCTTCAACGGCACCAACATCAACAAGAATGGCGGTGGCAATTACTCCCGCGTGACGCTCAAGAAGGGCAAGTCCCACAAGATCCGCCTCGTCAACATGTCCGTCGACAACACCTTCATGGTGAACCTTGTCGGTCACAAGATGACGGTGACGGGGACCGACTTTGTCCCTGTCAAGCCCTTCGAGACAGACTCACTCTACCTGACTGTCGGCCAGCGCTACGATGTCATCATCGACGCTGACCAGGACGCCAGCAAGGCATACTGGTTCAACGTCACCTTTCCGTCCAACAGACTCTGCGGCACGTCCAACATGAATAAGCCTGCTGCCATCTTCCAGTACGAGGGTGCGGCAAACGGCCTCATGCCCAAGGATGCTGGCAAGGCGCCCACAGATTCTCAGTGCCAGGACAAGACGGACTTTGAGCCCATCTACAGCGTCGACGTCAACTCTACATCGTTCGCCAAGACCCAAGATGATACTCTTGACATCACCGTAGACACGAGCAGGACTACCGGCACTCAGCAGGTTTTCTGGAAGGTCAATGGTCAGAACATGGACATCAACTGGGACCAGCCGACGCTTTCTTACCTCGCTAAGAATAGCACCGACTACCCCGACAACTACAACGTCTTTGAGGTTCCCGCCGACAATGCTGTAAGTCTCCCCGTATCAATCATTCCGACATCACTAGCTAACATTATCACAGTGGGCATTCTGGGTCGTCGAGAACCTGTTCCCCGCCCCTCACCCAATGCATCTCCACGGCCACGACTTCTACATTCTAGGCCACTCGGAGCCGGCCTCCAGCGGCCGCGGCGACGGCGTCCGCTTCAACGCGCAGACCGACGTCTCCAAGCTCAACTTCAAGAACCCGACTAGGCGCGATGTGACCACCCTCCCCGGCCGAGGCTGGCTCGTCGTTGCCTTCAAGACGGACAACCCCGGCGCGTGGCTGTTCCATTGCCACATCGCGTGGCACGTCAGCCAGGGTCTGTCTGTGCAGTTCCTGGAGCAGACTGACAAGATCATGGATACCGTCCGGGCTCAGGATATGGATGACATGTGTAATCAGTGGCAGACGTACTCGAAGAAGGCTCCTTACCCCCAGACCGATTCTGGTCTGCGTAAGCTCAAGATGTAAGAGGCCCTGAATGTTTGTCGTTCATGGGAATTTTGCGAAAGATTGTAATGGACTATTTGCTTCATTGTCTACTTGTTGGATCATTTGTGGGAAATTGAGTGGCGTAGCGGCGGAGCATGGTCATAACTGTGGGAAAGAAGGAGCATCATAGATAGAAATAACATTCATGCTAATCATCGTCACTATTATTTCGCAGTGCTGTGGTACTGTATATAGTACATATTCAACATTCGCCTCCCTCAGGATGGCATGATACCTTACTCGACCTTGAGAGATATCAACTCCGTCTTGCTCAGCACAGATGCTTGCCATTGCATTTGTACGCCTCGTAGCGCTAGACGTTACGACAACTTGACCGAAGATCTGGCACATGTTTTGAATGAGATGTCTTTATTGATGACTTGTATTCAATTTGTAAAATACATCTCTAACCCAAGATCTAGGCCTCTACAAACGACCGACACGAGCCGAAGGGCTCTCAAACTTCCACTGCCTGCACCAGTGAGCCATCAACTCCGGCGTCACAGGTCCAATCGAGCGGAGCGCAGGACTGCAAGCCACAGTTCTCGTGGTATCGTGTGTCCTCGTGTTCGGAATATTTTCTCCCGCAGAAGCAGCGCCTCGATAAAAATCAACCAACTTCAAGCCGGGGTTTCGGTCGGCGCCAAGCGCTCCGGGTGCCGTACGACTTGCTTCCAATCTCTCGACCCATTCCTTGAAGGGTATGAGGTCAGGAAGTTGATTCCTTCCGTAGTGTTGCTGGATAGCAGGGACCAACTTGTCAAATGTTGTGATGGAGGGGTTGCTGCCGTGGAAGTAACCTTCGTGATAGTCTTTCGACTCCTCAGTCAGGCCGCCGATGTCCAGGATCATTCTCGACATTGTCTCAACCGGGACCCAGGCGGTCGTGTTCATACCAGATAGATGTCTCGGCAACGCCTTGAGAACGAGACTGCTCGCGATAATGGAGGGCAGCCACTCTTGGCGGCTCCAAGCTCCACCATCAGCAAGGGGCCCAGCGATCTGACCAACACGAACGATAGCCAGAGGGAAGTCTCCGACTTGGGCGGCGTCCTCGAGGACCATGCTGGAGATCAGCTTACTCTGACCATATCCAAGACCCGAGATTCCATATTCCCGCAGGGATTTCTCCGGCACCGGGCCACGGCTTGCATCCCACTTGCTGGTGGTACCAATCGTCGACACGAACACCAGTACGACACGCTTCTCCGCCGTGGCAGCAAAGTCAGCCAAATTGCGGCACCCCTTGATGTGCGGCTCAAACGCATCGAGAGGCATGTTGAAGTTGACCGCCCAGGCGTTGTGAACGATGCGGTCCGCCTCTTTGAGGAGGCGAGAGTAGACCTCTTGCGACAACCCCATGTTGGGTTGCGACAAGTTGGTGTGGAAAAATTCGACCTTGCCGCTCTCTCCTGGGCTGGCCAGGCCGCGCTCTAGCATGGCGTTGGCCTGCTTTCCGGCACCACCGTCAGTTGATCTGTTGAAGCAAATGACTCTGTTGACGTGCGGATTGCGGATCAACTCGTCGAGCAAGTAACATCCCATGTTTCCGGTGGATCCGGTGAGAATGACGGTCTGCTGCTCCTTTGCTGGCTCAGGGCGTCCACGTTTGGCGTGAATCAGGTTCTGTCGAATCTTCTGATATAACCTATCCATTGCTTGGTGGTTCTCGCTCTCGCTAGCAGCACCGCTATTGGCCTTGCCCTGCCCAGACCGCAAAATGTGACCAGCAAGCTGGTGAGGACTAACGTGAGTATACATATCGCGAGCCTCAATAGTCGTATCACTGTAATGCTTATTCGTAGCGCGCAGACTAGCAGTGATGAAACGTGCAGCAGCAATGATTTGCAACGAGTCCATGCCCGCCGCGAAGAAATCAGTATCGGACTCTAAGTGAGGGACGCCGAGGTGCTCGCGGAGGAGCTTCTCGATGGACCTGCTAAGCGCGGCCTGGGAGCTCAATTCGAGGCGCGGCACCTTGGAGAGGGGCACTTCTCTCGGATTAGCGTAGAGCTCTTCGATCTCATCGGCATAAAGCTTGATTGTCGCCGATCTCTTGAGGGTGCCCTTGTCCGCCATCAGGAACGGCTTCTCCGGGTTGGACACTGTGATCAAGTGCCGAACGATCCGACCGTGCGTAGCTTTTTATTCCCGTGTCAGCGCTACACCTTCAAGGATGGACGGTTGTAAGTGACATTAGCTTGGGTGTGGTGGGGAGGACTTACCAATTGTCTCGTTAGCATCGGCAACTTGCGGCATGATGCGGTCGATCAGGTCATCAATCTCCTCGTCTGTCTTTGGCTGGACAAAGGGCTCTATGATCAGAGCTGGCTGGAATTTCTGTGCTCCTACGATGAGGGCAGCCTTCACCGCGGGGTTTCCGGCAATGATGTCTTCCATTCTCACGGGGTTGAGCTTCTCTCCATTCGAAAGATTAATGATGTTATCGGCTCGGCCGTGGAACTTCCAGTGGTGCGGCAGTGTTGGGTGAGGCTTGTACAAGTCGCTCGTGGCGTACTCCTCTCTATCGGGGAACGTATAGAAGATGCCCTGGATCGGGATCTGCTTGGACTTTCTGGTGATCACCATTTCGTAAACGTCCTCGTCGGTTGTGGCCTTTCGGAATTCTACGCCGGAGAGCTCCTCGTTGTAGATGAAGTACTGCCAAAGCGCTGAGTTCTTCTGATAATAAATACAGAATGGCAAAGTCCTAGGAATATTAGCATCGATCTTTCCTCAACTCCAATGATTCGAAGATACATACTCAGTTGCACCAATGATGTTGAGCAACTTGACTCCATTCCTGTAAAGGGTGTCACCGGCCTCCTTGTTGAGAGGACCTAGAACATCCAGTCGTAAGTACTCAACCTCTAGTCTCTTTCTTCTAGGGAATCTTACCTCCACCAAAGCCAACAAAGTTGAGCTTCTTCAGTACCTCAATTTGATCAGGACGATGAACCATCTCCTCGAGTAGAGATGGCGGTAGTGCCGCGCTTTTCGCACCCGTAGCTTGGAGAATTTCGATGGTAAGATCAGGTGTAAGCGGACGGTCAGGGAACGGGAAGATTATGGGCTTGTTGCTGAGCACTGCAGTCCCAATGAACCCATAGACGCCTCCGGCGTGGAATAATGGCACTATGCATGTAAGCTTCTGTCATGAGAACTGATGATGCACTCATGACACTCACTGGGACTGAAGTGTACGTCCGCCAGCGACTCCATTGCCCGGGCGATGGGGATTGTGCCATTCCATTCCGGAAACTGGTGCTGCGCATCCGTCAAGGCAATGGAGCCGTGCTTGGTCACAATCGGCTTGGGGAGACCTGTACTACCGCTGGTGTGGAGAACAAGGAAGGGATCCCACTCTGCCTCCGCCGCAGTTTTTGTGTATGGTACGTTGGGTACTTGAGGCTTAGATAGAATGTCGTGCAGAGGCTCGATCTCGATTTGCTTCATGTCCCAGTGTTTTACCCAGAAGTCGACGACAGACTGGTGTGATGGCGGGCGTACGACCAGACGGCATTCAGATAGCTTGAATAGGTTCAGCTGAGCCTCGAGAGGGTTTCTAGGAGACACGAAAAGGGCCTGTTCGATTCTATGTCAGTGGATTTGTGTACAGATACCAATAGCCCAAGAAGCTGACCTTATATCCTGCCTTGATGCAGGCAACGGTCATGATCTATCGTAGCGTCAGCTAGAATTCCACCAGATATAGGTAGAAGGTTTTGACCGTCCACGCACACAGTATCTGGCATCATTTGGGCCAATGTAGGCAATGGTAGGAAACGTGTTTGGCGCAGGAACTCCGCAGTTATCCAAAAGAAAATGCGCAATGTAGTTGATAGCATTCGCAAAATCTCTGTAAGTGACAACTCTCCACCCATCCCGAGGCTCCGACGTGTATGGTGTTGAAAAACACGTCAGGTTAGGCTCGTAAGCAGCCCTCTCGTCAATAATGGACGGGAAAGTCCGCTGTCCACAGACGGCGAGAGTCCTCGGCTCCGTGACTTGAACGGTAGTTGTCGCCATTGTTATTTTCGTCGATGATGATAAGTAAGGGTATAACATGGCTTCATAGACGCCCCTTTTCAACTACCAAATTTCAGGAATGGACGAGACCAAAGCGCATTCATATACTGTTTCCCATCCCTCGGTTGCAGTCTCAAAGTTAAGACGACACGTGACGGATCGTGGTATTTCTAAGCATTATGAGGGGGAGATAGCAAAGAGACTTTGAACCCGCGAGAGTCTGTCTGTTGGGATGACCTCTCTAGCGTTCTGGAAACTAAGTATTTGCGGTTGTTACAGAGTTCCACCAGCGGCAACCTCGGTCGGAGGTTAGGTCAAACTTTCCGTTTCGGCCGCTTACTAGCTTGGATAACAGGGTTAAGCAACCGTTAAGCAACCGATAGGAATGATATTTTCGGGACCGTCTTCGCATAAAGATTCAATCATTCGGCGCCGAATTGTGACGTACTCGGCTTTTGGACGAGAAACGAGGAGATGGCAGCCCACGGCTCTTCTTGAGTGCGTGGCTGTCCGGATATGAGACGATGAACAACAACATGGACATTATTCCCGATAGATCATATGACTGAGTAGTATCTATACTTCGAATGAGCGCGATGGAAGCCATCTTCCTTGTCTGTGCTTTGTCCTGGGCCAGCCTTTGGCCGATCCTGGACGCCATAGCTGACGGTAGGATGATTCCTCGAAAAGGCAAGCTTGGTGCTTACCTATAGAATCACTTGCAATCTATTACCCACTCAAAATAGAATGGCAGCTTCTCAAGCTCGTGGTGAACAATAAAGCCTTCCCCGATGTGATCAATTCCAGGCCTATCTCTAGCGACTCGAGAGGAATCAACGATGTAGCTCTACCTTGTTATGAGAGACAACAACGTTTCGTCTGAGCTACTGACTCGTTCGAGATCTCCCCGATGCCTCGGTAATCGAATGTTCCTCGTGCGGGGAAGCTCTAAATATTGGCCATAGCTTCATGCCATACAATGCAGGGAGAAGGTTTCAATCGATTTGTGAGGCCATAGAGGTTGGCCAGAAAATGTTGCCGGTCAAGTAAATACTCTCAGCAGCTCGGAAAGTAGATAAATGAGAGAACAAACCTTCATGGAAGCTTGTGAAGCTTCCAAAGCACTAGTGTCTGCAGTGCAACGTGCAAAGATCTCACTCATTTGTTACAAACTCGAGTGACGTCAAATTTAGCGCCGGAATCAGATACCAAACTCGGTCCAGGATCCCAAGGAAACAATAGATCTAACGCCAAGAAGCCGTTTATGATACGCTGGAAATGGGGTCTCCTAGTCCAGGAACCCGGGGAAACCTGCGGGACGGCATCGGCACTTGTTAAGGCCCCCCCCCCCCACGGTCCACATGTTAACGTTCTTCAGTCGCGCCGAATCGCATCGGCAATGCTTGTCCTCATCCCGCGTCCGGACTTCCGGCATCTGGTTTGAGTTTCAGTGGCCGAAGTCAAATTACTTCCATTGAACTGTCCGTCGGAGGAAGCGGAGCGCGAGCTCCGTCTCGCCGTGAACGGGGAGGCGCCGGTTCCCAAACAACTTGATGAAACTATTAGCTTTCGCTTCTAATGAATGGCCGAACATCTTTGTGTGCTCATCTGCTATCTTCAGCAACTGGTAAATCGTTGAAAGCTTGCCTAGATGTCTCGGTCTCGGACCTGACTGGTGTAAAGTAGGCTCATATTGGTCAAGGAGATGCTGAACCACGATTTCAAGGTAATAGATTGATTTGTTCCACCTGGTATTACATGCTTGTGACCGATGCCCTCTAACTCCTTATCCCCTTCTATACTATGACGATGTAAGGAAATCCCATTAGCTTTTAACTTTTCCATCGTCTAATCAAACACATCCGTCACGTAGCGGATGTTTCTCAGCGCCTCGAACCATTCCTTGACGCTCTCCTCGTCCGTCTCCTGACCTCTGGCCTTCTCCATCTCAACCTTGATCTTGAGCATCGTCTCCTTGGCAGACTCAGCCACACCGCGCGAGCCACAAACGTACGCCTTGGAACCCTTCTTCCACAAGTCAACGAGCTCCTCACGATCCTGCCACATGCGATCCTGCACGTGCTTGCATCCCTCGCTCTTATCGCAATCGCGACTGAACGCGCGCCGGACAGAGACGGCACCCATCTCTTCCCACTTGTCAAACTCGTCACGGTACAGATCGTCTTCCTCGGGCGAGCGGCATCCAAAGAAGAGCAGCGCGGGCGCGAGGGTGCGGCCCGCTGCGAGCATGGTGGCGCGCTCCTGGATGAAGCCGCGGAAGGGAGCGAGGCCGGTGCCGGCGGCGACGCAGACCATGGGCGTGTTCTCGGCATCAGTGGGAAGGCTGAAGGCGGCGTGGGATGGGCGGATAGAGACGTGGAGGCTGTCGCCCTCGGCGAGGGAGTCGAGGTAGGAGGAGGCGACGCCGATGTAGGGGCCCTGACCTGAGAGGGAGGGCTCGTTGAGGACGGAAAAGGTCAGGGTGACGTTGTTGGGGTAAGCCATGGGCGAGGAGGAGATGGAGTACTGTCTGACGCGCATCGGCGGCATCATGGAAAGGAAGACGCCGATCGGCAGGTCGATTGAGGGGTGGCGCTCGAGGAGGTCGAGGACGGAGACGCGCTTGCCGCTGACCTCGTCTGCGTAGGCGTCGCCTGAGAGGCGGTTCAACTCGGTCTTGGTTGACTCGTCCTTTGCGTGCTCTGCGAGAGCAAGGATGTTCTGGAAGTGTGTTAGTATGTAGTCCAAGCAAGTTACAAGAGTTGCTTCTTACTCTTTTCGTAGCAGGCTGCGAAAGCTCAACGTAAGAGCTCAAGAGATCGTTGGCGGGCACGGAGGTATCGACCGGGAGAGAAGTAGGTCCGTCAGTCTTGATGCTAAGGTGAGCATCACGGGCGATGTGGAAACGACGCATGGCGCGGTAGACAGTCTCCTTGGGATTGATGGGCAGAACGGCAAGGTAGTCACCCGCAGTGTAGGTCATGTCCTCCGGGAGCTTGATCTCGACGTGCTTCTTGATGCTCTTGCCCTTGGTGAGCGTCGCAGTCTTGGTGACGGTGGCCTCCTTGACGTCCTGGCGCAGGGTCGAGGTTCTGGGGTTGCTAATGACGACGCCTAGTCCCTTGGTCTTGCTGTCGTCGGCAGAGGACGTAGTCTTGTACTTGTTGGTCAATGAGGGCCAAAGGATGTCATCCTCCCATGACTCAAAGTTGGTGAACACCTCGCCGCTCGATACATCCGTCAAACCAACTTCGGCCAGGCGAGTCGCACCGAGCTGCTCGAGGGTGGTGTCGACCAGCTTGGGAACACGGTGGAATGTCTGAACCCAATCTTTGTGACCGCAACCAAAGACGGCGTAGGAGACGTCCTTGAGAGGGGACTGGGCCTTGTCCTGTCCCTCGATCCAGGCCACAAAGTGGCCAGCATTGTCGGGAGGCTGACCCTCGTATGATGCCGTGATGATGACGACAGGCTGGTCAGTAGGAAGGCTGCCGTTGGCGCTGTCTAAGCAGTCGATCTTGCTGGCGCGGAAGCCGTGGGAGGCGGCATCGGAGGCAACGCGCTGCGCCAAAGCCTCGCATGTTCCACTATTAGATCCGTAGAGGATCGTCAGAGGCATTCCACTCTCGCCCTCGGCGGCAGCTCCGTTGGCTTTGGCGTGCTCGGCAGGCTTCTCGGGCTCGGCAAGACCGGCCAGACGGCGCTCCAGAGTCGTCGGCGTGAGATTATCGCGAAGGATAGCGCGCATGTGCATGTCCTTGGGCTTGATGGTGAGGGTCTGCTTGATGCCAAAGTGGTAGTTGGGGTCCAGGACAAAGTTGAAGTTCTGGAGAAGCATGACCATGACCAACAGGGCCTCTTGCCAGGCAAAGGGGCGACCGATGCAGCCTCTCATACCGTTGCCGAACGGCTTCCAGCAGTTGGGGAACTCCTTGGTGATGCGGTTGAAGTTCTCATCCATCATGCGCTCGGGCTTGAACTCGTTGGCGTCCTCGCCAAAGACTGCAGGATCGACCTGGGACTTGGCGAGGAGGTTGATAATGGTCTCGCCTGCACCCACGGGGTACTTGCCACCAAGCACAGTATCTTCAAAGGCTTCGACTGAGAAGACGGGGATCGTGGCGTTGACACGCAGGGTCTCGCGGAGAACGCCGTTAATGTAGGGCAGCTTGGACATGTGGTCGACCTTGATCTGACCCTTTCCAACAACATTGTCGACCTCCTGCTGGGCCTTGCGGTACGCCTCGGGGTGCTTCAGCAGCTGGTAGAAAGCGAATGACAAGAGTCCTGACGTTGTTTCGTGACCGGCGATGAGGAATGTGATCAAGTTATCCATGATACTTTCATCCGTCATCTTCTTTCCCGTCTTCGGGTCGACTCCCTCGAGCATGGCCGTGAGCAAATCCCGGCGATCGCTCTTCCCTTCCTTTCTTGACTCGAGAACTTCTCTGGCCGTGGTTCTGAGGGTGTCAATGTCCTGCTGGAACTTCTGGTCCTTTGCGCTGTAGAACATGGCAGGGAGCGGGAGACGACGAGACTTGTTACCAGCCTCGGTCAAAAAGTCGCCCATGGCCTCAATAAAGGGATGAAGAACGGGTGAGTAGTAGCTGTTGAATCGGTATCCCATTGAGCACAAGGCCAATGTGTCGAGCGTCAATCGCGTGAAGTCGTCCGTCACCATGATTGCCGATTCGGGGCCGTATCGCGCCCATTTTAATGCCAGCTGGCTGGCGATGTCGTGCATCTCATCGTACATGCCGCGAATCGAAAGGGGGCCGAAGGCGGGCATGAGAACGCGGTGCGCGATGCCCCAGTTCTCCTCGCCCATTTTCGCTGTGAAGAGTCCATCGTGGACGCCTGCTCTGACTTGCTACTCGGGAATGAGTATGACTTCCATCTTACACTCAAGCCAATGAAATGAGCTCAATTCAACTTGGTAGACTCACATTTAACGCCGAGTTCACGGACTTCTTGAACCGCTTCTCATCGCAAGTTTCATTCACGAGCTGCTGTGTTGAGACCAGGACAATTGACCGTCCTGGGAATCTCAATCGGTAAATCTCACCTTCAGGGGCACATGTCACTGTCAGCTGCGTGTCATGGATAAGATAAGAGGGTCTGGCTCGCATGAGTCAGGGGGGTCATCTCTCACCGTACTGGTCCGCAAGAGACATCATAGATCCCAGGGGGAATTCAGAGTCGATCTCGTTGAGGTTGCCGAGAAACGGCAGCCCGCCGGGCTCTGGAATCGGTACTGTTTCCGACATGTCGTTTATGTGTGTTTGTGTGTGATGTGAGAGTGTGTACGTATACGTGTGTTTTGTGTGTGTCGAGGTTGTGATCTTGGTCCTCGAGCGGTGTTGAGTCAGTAAGCTAACTGAGAGATTTGAATACACTTCTATGGGATGAGACAAAGCCTAGCAACAGGAGGGGATGTCGGCCTGATAATATTCAAATTCGAAAACCGCCTGAGCCCGCCCCAATTCCATGTATTATGTGGCTAGTTTCTTGAGCTTGTCAGGCGTTATGCCTCGGTCCCATCATCATGCGTGGAGCACGAGGATGAACGCTGATATCATGGCCGAAAAAAGATTTCCCATTTTCCCACTTTTTTTCCTCACGGCGAGTTGACGCGACAGGTGGGCCAATCCCGGTCATCTCAATGGTCGAGATGAACGCAATCGTGCGGATTCGAGCCAGCTTCGTAGCCCAGCTCGGCCATCCCGTCCGTCCCCGTCTCTAGTGAAACATGGCATTCGGCGCCAGTCCAATTCCGCGCCGACTTGCTTTAAGCGTTCTCTGCCCTATGGAATGCCAGCCAAGTAAGCAGTGACACTTTGCCAACGAGTCGGGGGGCTCTTGGGACTCTTGGGGTGTTGCATTTGTTGGTGGGCGGTGAAGCCAGGGGTTCTTTTCACTCCCGTCCACCCCCATGCAACGAGTCGGACTTGGTATCCTCGTCCCGCGATCTTGGTCCATAATACTGTGCCGACTAATAACGCTGAAAGCACTCTGTTTACTGATTAGACGAATCTCATAGAATCAGTGCCGAGGAGGCCGACTCATGAGACCATTCCCAGTGCGAATCTGACCAGAAACCAACATGCCCGCCCACCGGCACCCACCCGTGTGCTACCACGGCGCCACCCAGGCCTCCCAACCCGTTGGATCCCAAAACTAAGGCCGCCAGGGGGGCGTTAGTCCCGAGATCCGTCGCCTACGTGCATCTACGGCGCAGCGATGGGTAGCTGCCGCCGTCATTACGGCGAATTCTCACAGCCCAGCTACCGGCCGTCGAGTTACCCCATCCCGCTCCGTCGGCCAAACCGATGCCTTTGGCCCTCCCGCCCCGTAACAAGGCATTCAACGGTTTCGTTCGGCCGCCATGTCGCCGTCCGCCGTCGATGATGGAGTCTTCTCGGAGTCCAGTAAGGCTTCCGTTGAGAGCGGCCGCCCGTCGTGCGGATACACGAAAGATGGTGCTCATCTGTCAGCGACTCATCGTCAATTCATTCCACAACCTGCCAACATGACCCCGCTCAACCTTGAATTTCCTCTCATACGTTCGTTCTCGCTTGCCCGTTTGCGGGGAACAGAGACACCATGACGCAGGGAGACGTCTTCTTGGCGCGTCAGTGTACAAACTTGGAGCACGAGAGTTTAGGACTGCAGCGGCGCAGATCAGGAAAGAATCCGGTGCGCTGACACGTACACGAAGCTAGTTCCATGCAGGCCAGGAAGTGGGAGGTAAGCACAAATTCACCGCCGGCCTTTGGACCCAAGCTCCCAACTCCTGCGGGACTAGGATGGAGTTTTGGATGTTTTGTTCCCTGGCGAATTGGTTGGATCACGATTGGGCCAATCGAGGTTTTTGTATTTCAAGTGATGGTGACAATATGTCTCAAATTGTGATTTGCGTCATGTGAGCTGAGGCTTTCCGGCTCTTTTGAGGGATTATGCATGATCCATAGAGTGATTCGTTAATAGGGCAAACTCTGCATGAATTAACCTCCTCGATCGACATTTAGCCACAACACAAACTATGGATGTCTCCGTGAGAGTTGACCATTGCGACGCTACAGTGACCTTTTGCAGGGAATCATTCTCCCGCTCCAAATAGAACTAAGGCTTTCTCGAAGTCTAAAGCTATTGAATTGAGTGCGAAGCTGAGAAAATCTGCCTCATCGCCACCAGAGGTCGGTGTATCTGCCGAGAGCGAGCTCTCCAGGCTCGAAGAGACCATGCACCGAATCCCAGCCGGATTTGAGCTGAGCTACAGGCAGCCATTTCAATCTAAGCCGTTCCACTTCGGCCGACTCGGCTTCGTCGTCCGGCAGCAAGCCACATCTAGATAAGGCATGCTCCGGAGGCACAGTTCTTCGACCGTTCTTGAAAACGTATCTAGCGATTGACGATGCAAAGACAGCCTTTTGAGTATCTTTAGTCTCAATTCCTCCGTTTTTATTCTTCTTTTCCCTCGGGCCTGGTTGCATCGCGTACTCCCCCGGCAGGAATACATCTGCTTTGACAAAGTGTGATATGAGATATATCCACTTCTCATCCCACGACAACACCCTCGTCCATAGCTCGTACTTCTCATAAGGCCCAATCTCCTTGCGCCAGACGCACTGCGCGCCGCCGAGGATCATGATGAAGTGCTTGGGTCCCGGGAACGGGTTGAAAGGTTCCCGGAAGAGCACCAGGCTGATGTTGCCGCGTGACATGTCGAGATCTGTGAAGTAGGTCGAGTTGGACTTGTGCATGTTGTAATCACACTCCAGTAGCGGTGATCGCGTCGCGGAGATGGCTGGGAGGAAGAGGCATCGTGGGCCTAGGTGCTTTGAGGGCGCGGTGTCTATTAGACGTCGGACGAAGGCGCGTAGAAATCGGATCTGCGAGATGTGATTTAGTTGCAGAAACTCTGAAAGAAGCTCGGCTAGAGCTTTCTGTCGTTTCCACTTACGGTCCAGACAAAGTGCCAGTTCTTGATGTTGGCAAGGGCGAGTCCTATCAAGAATGATCTCACGCTTAGAAGCGAGAAGGCCATCTGTCCGCAAGCGACCAAATGGTTCCAAAGAGTCGCCACAGTATACAACTGGCAACGACTAGGGTTTAGGCACTTCGACAGATTCTTTCTTCAATAGACCCCGGTTTTTGAGTTGGTTTGGAGTGTAGCTGATTTCGATTCCCAGCAAGTTTGTTCGTCAACCCCTTAAAGCATTGGACTCGATTAAGTAACTTCACAGTGAAACTTCATCTTGGGCATTTCCGTCTCTTCACTGTTCTCAAAGATTTACGAATGACCCACGTTTGTTGGGATATCCTCGAGCTAGTTGTTGAGAGCTTCATCCATCGACAAGTAAATTATGTATTCGACTTGACAGTTAGACCGGGTACAGGCACCCCGTCTGGGAGCCTCAAGGAACGGCACGAACGGGCCATTGCCCAAGATAGGTGGCAAACCCGCATTGAAAATTGAAGATCCTTGGTTTGTACATAAAGTTATTCTGACGGAAAGATGCCCCCTTCGAGGCGAGAGACAAACAGCCCTCGGCTGGATGTGGGCCTTTGAGCTTGGGGTTGACTTGCATCAGACGGAGTAGCCCGTCCTGCAAGTTCAACATGGCACAGCTAGATTCTTAGTAGAGTAATACCTATCCTTCGGCAGTGATTGCATCAAAATGAAGGCGTATTGCGAATGAGTACAGTTTGGAAACATTCACGAGCCTGCGGAGTGCACCAAATGTAGCACAGTATTTCTTCCTTGGGAAATAACAACATTCTCGTCACCTGCATGTACCGAGGCATTCTCGGGCTGCGACCTAATTTTGGACAGATAGAGCTGGCTACACAAACCTTACGCATTTTTTATATCAATGGCCATGTTTCTGCGTTGCTGGAGTCTTAAGGCACTAAGCCACTGCATTGTCGATATCGGCAACAGAGCCTACGTATAGCAACGTTAGATTCTGAGCCGTTCGAACCACTGGAAGAGCAACGACGGGTCATCTCAGAATGTCTCACACAAGCGTTCCTCAGATTCCGGGCCTGTACTCGTCCTTGAACTACAAAGACATCACTATCAGCCACGTACCCCACGATGCTCCGTCCGCCACCAAAGTCATCGTCGTGACTCTGAACCGCCCGGAGAGACACAATGCCGTCAACGGAAACATCCTCGAGGAATTGGTCTCTGTGTTCAACATCATAGACAGGGATGACCGCGTCAGAGCGGTCGTTTTGACCGGCGCAGGCAAATCCTTCTGTGCAGGAATGGACCTTTCAGAGGGTCCGGGGGGTCTAATGAAAATCAAACAAAGTCCAGATGCGACGAATCAGTGGAAAGACCCGTGAGTCCCCCGCAACGCTCTACTCAAGTTACGAACTGACAATGTTGCCGCAGGGGTGGACGTGTAGCTCTGGCCATTTCAGGATGTTCAAAGCCAACCATCGTCGCCGTGAATGGAGGCGCGGCAGGGTTCGGAGCCACGTCCATTCTATCCGCCGCGATTCGAGTTGCCTGGCAGGATGCCAAGATTAACATGCCTTTTGCACGACGCGGACTGACGATGGAGTCCGTCAGCTCCTTTTACCTCCCCAAACTGATCGGCCTCTCGAAAGCGAACCACATTGTCACAACGGGAAGCACTTACACGGCCTCCGACCCCCTCGTCAGCGGGCTGTTTTCCAAACTGCTACCTACTCCTGACGACACTGTGAGGTATGCCATTGACCTTGCTACCGACATTGCGGAGAATACTTCTATCATGAGTAGCAAGTTGATGAGGGACATGATGCTGTATTGTCCTGATACACCGGAAGAAACACATGACTTGGACTCCAAGATCTTTATCACATCATTTGGGTCCAAAGACAACGTGGAAGGGTTGACAAGCTTCACAGAGAAGAGAAAGGCGGAGTTTCCTGGGAGATTTGATAGGAGCGCTTTCCCGTTCTATCCTTGGTGGGAATCTCAAGCGTTGAGGTCAAAGATTTGAGAGCATGGTACGCTGACTTAGTCTGAGCTTACTATGCGCACAAATTAGAAGCTTGGAGCCTCCAAGTCGCTCTGATTGCAATGGCACTCATTTGTAATTTTGTTCAGGTACCTACTCTGATTTCACAGTTTGCCTCGCCGTGGGAGAATCTCGAATACATGTGATGACTCCATGTAGCTGTCTGCAGAGATGCGGTTTGGCTCAGATACATTCTGGTTTGTAGCAGCTATGACAATCAATGGATCACACGATGAGCGCTTAGCCGTGCAACCCTGCCTTCTCAGTCAAGTTCGATACTTGATCAAAGGCCGTTATACTCCATAATTATTTTGCTATCGCTTCCTTCTCTAGTCGCTTATCTCGGCAGAACTCCGAACATTAAGGTCATACCAGCACGCGATATGTGCTATCTCTCATCTCCGTAATCAAGGCACGAAAGATTGTTGAGAGCCATCTTGACTCTTGCATGTGCTTCCACCAAAGCGGCCAAAGTGCCGAGGTACCTCGGCTCGGCAAGATGTGGGGCATATTTGATCGCGACTCGCCGCACGGGGGGCGGACGCGTTACCCGGGAACTCGGATTTCCTACGGACACCTCAACACTTCTGGTCCCACAGTCCGGGAGCTTATCGGTCCTTCGATTTGAGGAATCCGTCGAATCTGACCGAAAGCCGGTCGCGCGTTTCGAGTGCCTTGGGTGACGTTGGCCCGGCGGGATGAGAGGCCGAGCCAGGGCGTACGAAGCTGATCTTAAGTTTCGGTCTGTTCGAGAAGCTCTTGGCCCGAGAGGCTGAGCTGATGCTCCAATGTGCCATTCGTCGTAGATATGATGCAACTTCGGCTCATGGTCACGGTTGACATTGCAAGAGTCTCGCTAGTCAGGAGAGAACGAATGCATCATGGCAGACTGAAATCGTCGAGTGTCCATAATCTGTCCATAGTCTGGATGTCCAGCCAAGAATCGGTACTGCGAAAGTATCAGACCTTGTAGAGTTTTCAAACAAACATAAGAAGGACTCACTGGGTTCCCGATATCGAGGCATTGTCAGCGTATGCATTCGGTAGCGGACTCCACATATCCGATATGATGCCCGCGGTGCCCAGTCCATACCCATCAGGCCAGCTCGCGAACGCGGTCGTATCCGGTGTCAAGGCAGAAGCAGCCGGAGACGGCTGATGCTGCTCGTGAGGCGGCGCATTATCGACCTTGTTGATCGCCGTTTCGAAGAGCTTGTACGACGCATCCGCCGAGATGTAGGACTTGCGCATCTCGTCCATAGCGACCATGCAGAGGGCGAGGTTGTGTCTGCCCATCTGGCGCGCCATTTGTTTTGACGAGGTTGATTCGAAGAGGTGGATTTGCATTGGAGGGACGAGGGCGATGACTCTGGGAAGCGGTTAGTGAACTTTGGACTTATGTATCATTGTGAAGGTCGGGATTCGTACGTGATTGTATGGCAAAGTCGGATGAGGTCTTCTGCCATCATGGAGTTCATCGCTGCGCTTGCGTTGGACGCGGCCGTCCTCGTCTTTTGACACGCAAAGGTCCTCCAGCTTCCCTGGTCTGCTGGCGGGATCTCTCTTGGGGTATCAAGTATGAAAGGCCGATAGAGTACAATTATGGATGTTCTGAGTTGTGTTAGATGCTTGCCCTCGTTCGATATCGTGGCTCACTTCGCTATGCACTTACTCAAAGTACAGCTTGAACTGGTAGATGTGAGATGCGACAACTCGACTGTGACTTCCGGCTTCAGGCACCCTATACTGGAAAGCTCGAATCTGATTCTCGCTCTGCTCAATCTCCGTCCTCGACGGCTTGACGCCTTTGGCCCGATAATTCGTCGCAAGAACATTACTAAGGGTGACACTCAAGCCAATGAAAACCAGCCAGGTATCGAACAGAAACTTCATCTCTTCAGGAAGATACTTCTGGCCAAGTTGGCCCTTGACCTCGGGCGCCAGGACGTCAGCGTCGCTCGCAGCCGGCATAGACGTATCAAAGTCATCAAGGGCTATCCGCATCGGCCTGCCGAGTCCCAGAGAAAGCCACACCTCTCGCGAGTAGAGAGACCACCAGAGACGTCTCCAAAACGGCTTCGTGCCTTGAGACGCCTCTTGGTTCGCGGGCATGTGCAAGCGGTGAAGACCGATCGTATGAGAGAGGCTGATGGCGATGCCGTTCCAGTGCCAGGGCCCGGCTCTGTCGTCTGTGCTGGTGTACCAGTGGCCCATTAGGAAGACCGACTGGATGAGTGTCACCTTGTCTTTTTCATAATCTGCATCGTACATAGCCTGCAATATGGTCAGCTTCTGTTTGCGGTGAAGGAACACCGGAAGGGGGAGCCGACTTTAGCTCTCTGGTACATGGCTCGTTTCAGAGCCTTTCGCGAGGGAAAGAAATCTTCCGTCAGGAGACTTTCGTCAACAAACTGTGGTGAATGTCAGCTACGCCTAGCAATGAATGATAGATCATTTATGTCGTTGACCTACACTCGCGGCCGCGATGAACATGCTCCAGAGCAGCAATAGGCTTTTTCTCCCCTTTTCATACTCGGTGATGAACTCACTAGCATCCAGGATTGGTGCAAATGGGTGAACATAGTGAAAGTAGCATCGGATCATGGCCTCGCGGACATGGGGCGGAGGAAGCGTGAAAGCGCCTTTCATCCTAAGATAGTTGACATCTTCTGGCGAAAGGGCCTTAATGGATGGCATCGGCACTAGGAAATGGTTGTCTTTGGATGACCTGTTGGGTTCACAGATATCGATCAAGAAGGCAGGGCCGCGTTGATCTCCTAGATCAAATCAGTGTCAAGAGAACCCCATCTCGAAGCCATGCTTCTTGCATCAAGGTATCAGGACAGAGGACATCTTACCTGGGTAGAACGGGACGCATCCATCCTCGCGATTCTTACCACCTTCCAACGTCTCTGCATACGCGGAGCTGTCCTCAGTGGCATCGGATGGATCCGGTGGCCGGTGACCTTTGTTAGGAAGCAAAGCCCGCACGGCATCGCCGGGCCGAGTGGTTGGCGCGGATGGCCCACCACCAACCGGTCGTGTCTCGGCTGCGCGTGGGGATGTCGACGACCTCGGGCCGCCGTTGAGTTGGGGTGTGGTGCGCCGGTGATCTTCGGGCGGCGCGGATGTGACCCGGTCATCCCTCGACTCGATGGCCTCTTCATTCTCTAGGGTACCCGACGATGGGCCCGGGGTCTGGGGTTCCACGAGCCGTCTTCTGGGTTGCGCTCTTTGTGGGATGATAATCAACGTGTTCTCCCCACCTCCTCCGGGGGATGGGTTCATGAGGAGTTGATCCGAGTTGCTGTTTTGTTAGGATAACTCACCAACATGGCCCCGTACGGCAGCAAACCATAGAGACCAGTGACCAGAAAACTCACCGACGTCGTTTACGACTGAGAACCTCGCATGTAATCCCGTCCACGGAGCAGTTGGCGCAGGGAGGGCCAGATAATGTGACCGTGCATCTCACCTTGCGCAGGTTGCAAGCCTTGCACGCCACGGCGGCACGTTTGAAGGTTCGGACTGCCGCTGCAGAGGGAGGGGAGGAACCCGTAGTGGTGGCCACGGCGGAAGAGTCATTGTGCTGTAGAGACATGTCGTGTACCTTGCTTGCAGGATTCGCTGGAGTTGAAGGTATAATTGAGTGAGAAACGTTATCGTTATCATCAGGTGAGAATGCCCTCTGCCCTTTGGCCTTCATGCATGCTACTTCATCAAGGTTAGGTTTTCCCCATTCTCAATGGAACCAGTTACTTGTCTAAGGCAAGCTTCTGTGGGGGACGAATGCTCTTGTTGGGTGGGAAATCAACAGCAGCTCAACATCTGTAAGTGATCGAACATGCTTGTGCTAGTCAGTCGACCGAGGATGTGGATTAGGTAATATTGCAGGTGGCATGTGAGAAGAATCGGGGTCAACGGAGCTGTCCACTTGTGTAACTAGTAGTTACACGCACAGCGTTCATGCGCTCCCTCATTGTCGATTTTGTCCTGCAGAATGCGGGGATTTAAGATTGTCCGAGGACAACTTTGAATTGCCGGTTGCGACCTTGGCAAAGACTTTTACGGGAACGGCTAGGGCGTTCGTTCATCCTAGTCGCGTCCTTGAACTTAGTGCGGTCGCGTTTCCTACTCACTTTAGAGAAGCCAAGTTGTGTTGTAGAGTCAGAAAGAGAACATAAGTCGCACGGCAGTGTCATTGTCTTCAACAGTCTAGTGATGAATGTTCCAAAACGTCAAATCATTAGTTCATTACCCTCTATACCTGTAAGCCATGTCCATAACCATATCCGTAACCCATTAGTCGTCATATCATGTTCCCATCGTGTGTGTCCTACGCCCAATGCACCGACTTTCTCTGCTTCCTCTTGTTGCCCAACTCCCCCGGCACGCGCAAACGAGCGTCCGCAATCATCATACCAAAAGTCAAGCTCGACGCGCGACTATGCGTACAGACAGTAGCAGTCCCGTCAAGCTCCCACTCCCACCGCGTCTTCTCAACCATATCCCCGGCCTTCCGGAGCTTCTGCCTCCACCCCTCGACAAACAACCACGCCAGACGAAACACGCTCTCGCCAGAGGGCTCCACGGGTCCGCCGCCGCTTTCCTCCTCTTCCGGGTACCAAGGGACCGGCACCCGCAAGCCGCTCGGGTCTCTGCGATACTTGCAGCGCTTCGGACGATGCCGGTCCCCCGGCTCTTCCATGTCCACGTTCTCTTCCCACTCATCGTACTCGGCGTCCCGCTTCACCCTCACGACTCTGAGCCCCGCTCCGCCCGAGCGTGGTCAATTTGCCTCCAACCCGCCAGCAGAGCTTCGTAGGAGTGCGCTCTGCTCGTCAACCTCGTCTTCGGCTTCGTTGAGAAACCCTGCTTTGCGTTCATATCCGCGGTCCTCGAAGTCGTCGCCGCCGCCGCTGGGCTTGCTGCGCCGGACCGGGTGAAAAACACCCGACACCGGCCGTGATCGGACTGGACTGGCCGGCTCTTGCTTAGCTTGGTTGTTCTCAAAGATGCCGCGCATCCTGCTGATAAGGCTTCCAGGTGAGTTGTTGTTCGTGGCCGCCGCGTTCCGCGGAGGGCTATCTGAACTGGAGCCCACGGAGCCAGATGGTCCGCGAGCTGCCTTTGCAGCCTCCTCACTATCTCTGAAAGGATCATACTCTTCACGATCAGTCACCGACGAGTCATTGCGCGGTCTCGTCAAGTGATGAACGGAAGCCGGCCACGAGTCCCGAATCACCGGCTCGTGCTTGTCAGCGTGCAAGGCCGAATGAATCGGCGATGACGCAACGGAGTCGAGAGTGCTCTGGCTTCGCATCGAGTGAGGGACGGAATCGTTGCGAGCGTGCCAGGGAACGTTGGTCACATCGCGGGGGACCATGAGCTCGGGATCAAAATCCCCTTCGGCTTGCATAGTGGGCGGTGTCTGCGGCCGGTCAGGATTGTGCCTGCTGAACGCGAGTCCACGAGAGGGTGTCCCCTGCGACGACAAGGGCGTCGCTGGTGACTCATCCTGACGCAACGCTAAGGGGCTGATGTCCGGTGCTTGCTCACTTTGCTGTGGTGCCAACTGCGGAGTTGTCTGCTCATGTTCCTCTTCCGCCTGTTCCTCGGATACCTGCACCTCGGGCTGCCACGAAGTTGTTTGTCCGTATTGTGGCTGGAGTTGTGTTTGTCCATAGGGCTGGGCCTTGAATTGGTCTTGATCAAACTGGGCTTGACCGTATTGCTGCTGGGCAAGGTCATCTTGCGCGTGATACTCGGCTGACTGTTGTCCATAGACATCCTGGCCATGCACCTGAGCTTGTTGCCCGCCGTAAGAACCTTCAACCTGGGTATCAGGCTCGTAAGCAGACCGCAGAGGAGATGAGTAACCAGCGGTGGCTTCTTGGTGAAGTGATTTCTGCACTTCCTCCCTCAATAGAGACCCAGACCGGCTGTGCCTTGTAGCACCGAACATGGTGGGCGAGCGAAGCTCATCCCGCCAAGTTGAAGCTCCAAAACGGGAAGAGGCATATTGTGTGGGGTGCTCAGCCGGCTGCATGACCGCAGTCTTTGGGCCATCATCTTCATCGCTGTCGAACGAATCGATGACTTGGGTCAATACAGGTTCGTTTGACGATTGCTGCTGCTGCTGCTGCACTTGTTGCGCAGTGCCGATCTGGGTGAGGAAGGCCGGAGCTTCCGAGTGGTTATACTCGCTGTCATCGTCCGAGTCGTCATCTTGAGCAAGCTCGTCGGCGAGTGAAGTCTCGTGAGCCTGAGCATATGGAGAGCTCGCTCCTCCTCGGTTGTATGTCTGGTCGTAGATATCCTTGTTGCCGATTGAATCCGGGTGACGGGGCGAGTCCATGGCCCCTTGCGTATACTGCGAAGACGCGCTGAACCCGGCCGATGCCAACGGAGTGGCGTACTCTTGTGAGTCAGAATCTGTAAAGTCACCTGGTCCTGCTGGCTGGAGGTATGTCGACGCCGTGGAAATCTGGTCGTTGCTCGCGTTCGGCCACTCCTGCTCGTAGCTATCGACGCGCAGCTGTGGTGTCGGCATGGCGGTGGTGAACTTCTCGTCGACTGGACTGATCTCATCACCGCCGCGCTTCCCAATATTTTCCCATGAATCATCGCTTTCTTCCCCTCCTTCTTCTCTTGGATGACTTTGTAGGCCCTGACTGCTTGTTGCCGGTACCGAGTCCCTGAATGCTGACTCCATCGGGTTGCTCCGTGCCATCGGGCTGGCTGACCCTAACGGACTTGTTGATGCCAAGGGACTGGACGCCCGCATCGGGTTGGTCGCCATCGGGCTTGTCGCTTGCAGTGGGCTGGCGGCTCTCATCGGACTCGCGCCTAGCGGGCTTGCTGATCTCGTCGGGTCGACTCCCATCTGGTTGGTCCCCATCAGGTTGCTTGCTCCCATCATGCTCGTTGTCTGGCCATATCGATTAGCTTCCCATGCCTCCTCGTTCTCCTCGCTGTCGGAGTCTTCGAGTTCTTGACGGTAACGACCCAGTGCGCTGGATGTGCGCGGAGGCGGAGGTGGCGGCGGGGTCGCCCTGAACTGCGACGTCGATAGATTTGGTATCTGACCGGGCCGAGCGGCATTCGAATCCCAAGCATCCTCGCTCTGTTCGTCACTGGAATCCTCCTCAATCTCCTGGCGGTATTGACCTTGCGAGCTTGATACCCGCGGAGGCGGGGGTGGGGGCGGAGTAGCCCTGAACTGAGATGATGATGAAATGGGGAACTGACCAGGTCGAGCAATGTCGTGGCTGAAGGGGTGTTCGTCCTCACTTGAGTCCGCTTGCTCTTGATGATAGAAGCCTTGAGAGCTAGGGGCACGCGGCGGTGGTGGTGGCGGCGGAGTCGCCCGATAACCAGATGGTGACAGCGCACTGGGAAGAAGATTGGACTGAGTAGCGGCAGAGGGTAGGACACCTTGATCTTCCTCGTCTGAATCCTCAACGTTGTAGCGGCTTTGTGACAGGGAACTGGGGGCACGGGGTGGTGGAATCGGAGGTGGGCGCGGGGGAGTAGATCCGAACTGCGTGGTCGGGAATGTGCTGGGCTGCGCGGGCTCGAAGGCGTCATCCCAGTCAGCTTGCTCCTCTTCAGATGAGTCTTCTAGTTGTTGCTGAGCGTAGTGACCCTGTGAACTTGGCGCGCGCGGTGGTGGAGGAGGAGGCGGGGTTGCCCTGTACTGCGATGATGAGAGGGGATTCAGCCGTGCTGGAGATTGCGCGTGGAAGATGTCGCCGTCGTCCTCAGATGAGTCTTCAACTTTTTGCGCATAGTGGCCCTGTGAGCTAGAGACGCGCGGAGGGGGAGGGGGAGGGGGACTTGATCTGTACGGGGAAGATGTCAACAAGGTATTGATCTGGCTGGGCTGATGAGCACGAGCATCCCAGTCCTCCTCTTCTTCAGAAGAGTCGTCGAACCCTTGACGGGAACGCTCTGCAATGCTTGGTAGAGGAGGAGGAGCTCTCTGTTGCGAAGTTGGCAACTGCTGGGAGGTGCTAAGACTCTCTGGTTCCTCAGAGTCGGAATCCATATCCTCTAGTTCACTGTTGTATCGCTCTTGGATGCTATCCAGAGTGGCTGGAGCAAGGTGCCTGGCCGACAAAGGGCTGTTCTCTTGGACAAACTGCTGGGAAGGATCCATCATCCCTTCACCCACGACGTCGTGCCCTCCAGTGGCGGAAGGATAGCCTTGGTCGAACATGGACTCATCAACGTCACCACCGACAGTGCTACTCCTGGCCCCGAATGGGTTGTAAGAGGCATCAGGCTGAGCTTGCCTCAAAGTGCTCGCGGTGGGCAGGAAGCTCTGATCAGACGCAGTGCTTCGAGCAAAGGGATTGTTGTACATCGACTCCGGGACCTGTGGCGTGGGCTGGCGGCGTTCGATCGACTGAGCGGCAGACGCGAAGTCGTCATTGGCAACCTCGGGCGATTGATTCACGGGGAACAAGTTCTTGTATGTGGACTCTGCCGCCATCATGGCCTCCTCATCTTCGGAATCGCTGTCTTCTGCCGGTGGATAGCTCTGCTGCGGCGTCGTGCTCCGAGCGAACGGGTTGCTTGGCGCGTGTTGTCTACCAGGAGTGCTCAAGGCTGGTGAATAGCTCCGGTCGACAGGAGTCGTGCTTCTAGCGAACGGGTTGTTGGAGCTCACGCTTTCACGGCGGAGCCCTTGAGCACTAGGAGACCTAGCGAATGTCTCTTCGGGAGAAGAAGGCTGATGGTTGCTTAGAGCGCTGGCGGACCGGAGGAAATCTGCACCACTGGGAGTGCTGCGTGCAAACGGGTTGGTCAAGTCCTCTTGAGGCTCTCTGCTTGGGCTCCTCGCGAACGGGTTGGTTGTCTCCCGGGGTGGCTCTTCCTCAACGACCGTCTGCAATGCGAAAGGATTGTACGGTATGTCTTGCGAATGGAACGTCGGCTGCGCATGTGCTGTGGAACCGGCTCTGGCCCTGGTGAACGGGTTGTACGAGGTCTCTGCAGGCTCATCGGCATCGCTGTCTTCGTCTCTTACACTGAGAACTGGCGAGGAGTCTTCGTCATCTTCCTCCTCATTGAAATGAACCTGTCTGACTCCAAAGTGACCATCGTAAAAGGTAGCACTGGGCGTGAAGCTCTCTTGTTGTTGATCCTGCACTTGGCTGTCGTCCGTAGCCATGCCCGTGGGCTCAGTCATGTAAGAACTCTCAATGGCTGCGTCCGGGGCTTCAGGGACATTCCGGCTGAGAGGCTCGGGATCAACATCTTCGTCGGCCTTTGCAGCTAGACCAGAGGTGTCGCCGGCTGCGGATGCAGCAGGCTCAGTGTGCTCCGTGATCACCGAAAGGTCGGGTCCACGAGACTGATCAGCCTCATCGTGAGGCGCCTCGACAACTTCGAATTCGCCATGATCGGAGTCATGCTGAGTAGCATCGTTTTCAACGTCGACTTCGTGACCAGGTGAAGACTCCATTGCCGCATCATAGTCGTGATCGTCGTCGTTTTGTCTCTGGTGACCTTCGAATTGGCTGACATTAAGGACCTCGGCCGGCGGGGATTCGGGCTCCTCGAGAGAAACGCTGCGCTCGTGAATGTCTACTTCATCTCCATCTCTATGAGCGAGTGTCTCCCGAGCGACATCTGCCTGGCTGTCGACAACTTGCAAATCCTCAAGATCCTTGTCTTGCTCATCTTGTTTGAGATCTCCCGAAATGGCCGGGGTATCTTCCACAGACTCAGGATGATCCGATACGTCTGCGGTAGGCGCCTCATCATCTGCTGTTGTCTTTGCCTCTTCTTCATCAAGTTCGCGGCTATTCGCCTGGGGAGCTGCCCCCTCCGCCAATGGAACATTATCTTCGGCATGGTCGGATTCCTCCTTGTCAGCATCGACAGCAGAGAGCTGGGGTTTTTCAGTATCGGCATGGGCATCGCCATCAGACTCATCTGCTTCGATGGCGACAGACTCATCTGCAAGCGCTGCAGGAGCTGCAGAAGCGTCTTCCTCTGCGCCATGCTCGACTGCAGTCGAGTGAGCCTCGACCTTCTCATCCTCGACGTGACCCTCAGACTCAGCACCTTGCGCCTCCACTCCATCAGCAGCAACAGCTTCCGTCAAGTCAGAGTCGGCAGGGGCGTCGGCGGTGGCGTCAGTAGGCCCATCAGTGGAATCGTCCTCAGCTGCGTCAATGACACTACTAGCGAGTTGTTCTTCTGGCGGATCTGAAGCGTCCCGGTGTTCGGAATCTCCATTGTCAAGATCTTTGCTGGCAGTGGTTGGATCAGGCTCGTCCTCCTCGTGGGCTGTCGGGGGTGCATCACTGACTTCGGCTTGTGTCTCTTCAGGGTTGGGCTGAGCGCGAACAGCATCTTCCTCGGGAGAAGCCACAGGTTCGTCAATTTCCTTGGCTGCTACTGTATCGGCATCCGTGACAGGGGCAATTGCTTCTTGGGCTTGATCCTCGCTGGCATGCTGGACCTCGACCTCTCCAGTGGCTGGTGCTTCGATGCTTGGCTCTTCAGCAGGTGCCTCCTCTTCGTCTGTGACACTCTCCTTTTTAGGTTCGTCTTTCGGAGAGGCGCGGGCGGTTTCCCCATCTTCCTCAACTGCGGCTTCATCGTGACCAGCTGTTGTGTCTTGAATTGTAGGCTCTTCAGACTCGGCGGGTGGCTGGTCTTCATCTGAAGCTGCCTCGGGCACAGCTCGGTCTGAATCAGTAGGCTCATCCGCTGCCTCGCTGGGAGCTGCATCCTTTGCGATCTCGGAGTCGTCCACGGCAGCTGCCTCAACAGGGTCCTTTTCGGCAACTTGCTCATCAACAGCCGGTTCAACAGTCGTTGCATCGGCCGCCGCCTCGTCGGCAACTTGCTCTGGAGCAGGCGCATCAGCATCTGGCTCGGGCTTGTCTTCTGCTGAAATCGCTTCTTCGACGGGGGTTGCTTCAGTTGAAGCCTCATCGGCAGGAGTCTCCTCTATAGTTGGTGTCTGCTCAGACTCAATCTCCTCTGGGTGAGGGCCTTCCTCGTGGCTAGGAGCGTCATCCGCCGCCGGCACCTCATCTTCAAGGGCAGACTTCTCAGTGGTGGAAGTCTCGTCTTTAGCAGCAGGGGTAGTATCCGGTGCTTCGATGTCTGCAGGAGCGGCCTCATCCTGAGCAGGAGCTTCTTCTTCTGCAATTGCTGCATCTGGAGAAGTTTCCGGGTCCTTCACGTCCTCAGTCACAGGGGCATCCTTGGGTGATTCCTCGCTCGACTCTGCAGTTTCGGCCGCTGCATCTTCTGCTGCTATTGTCGCAGCTTCCACAGGATCAGCATCCTCTGGTGAGATTGCTTCATCTTGAGCTGGCTCCTCGGCAGCAGGGTCTTCATCAGAAGTCGCCTTCTCAGCTTGAGGCGGCGCATCCTCCTTCTGAGATGTGGGCTCTTCTTGACTTGGCTCTGCATCGACAGCCTTAGAATCGACCTCCGGAGACGCATCTTCCTCGGCCTGGTCCACCTCGGGTGCAGCTTCCTCTTCGACGGGGTCGCTGCTGTCTGGAACCGGAGCCTCCTCTGAGACCGAGTCATCCTCCACAGCCTTCATCGAGAACTCGGGGACCGACCTTTCCCCAGAAACCTCGTCGGCACCCGTATCTTCAGCCTCTTCGCCTGCTTGCTTCGGGGTATCATCTTCCGCACTCTCTGGGCTCGGTTCAGGCGTGGCTTCGTCAACTGGGGCATCCTTTGCCACGACTTCTTCTGGGTCAGCCGCATCTTCACTTGCGTCAGGTGCTGGCTCGTAAGAAGCAGCTTCAGCAGGTGTTATCTCCTCCTCAGGGCTCTTGTCCGCTTCCTCGATGGGTTTAACGGGCTCAGCAGACGCGTCGTCTTGGCTGGGAACATCAGCCTCAGTTGCCGCAGGTTCCTCCGCTGGGGCGGAGTCCTCCGGTTCGGCACCTGGCGCAGCTTCCTCAGCGATTGACTCTTCGGCGGGTGCATCCTGGGCGACAGGCACTTCCTTGGAGGCATCATCTTCCGGGGCGTCCGGCGCTGCTTGGGCTACATCGGAGACTTCCTCATTGGGAAACTCTTCGGAGGGGGCCTCGTCAACGGCAACATCTTCCTTTGAAGGTTCCTCGGCTGAAGCCTCTACGGCCGGCGCCTCCTCGTCGGCAGCTGGTATCTCTGAGGTTGCTTCTGCGGTTGGGATAACCTCTGTTGAAGCCTTCTCGGGAGCGGGTGCATCATCTTGAGGTAGATCATCCGCAGGAGGCTCCTCAGCTGCCAGATCCTTAGTAGCTGCAGCCTCTTCCCTCAGAGATTCTTCTGCCGGTACTTCCTCTATCGGAACTTCTTCTACTGAGGCTTCCTCTGCCTGGGTTTCTTCCGCCGGAGTTGCTTCCGTCGGTGCTTCATCTATCGGAGCCTCCTCAGTTGAAGCAGCTTCTGCTGCTGACTCTTCGGCGACAACAGTGTCTTCCTCCCCAGCCGCATCTTTGGGAGCTTTCTTGTCCTCAGCCGGAGCGTCTTCAGCGGGGGTCTCTTCCACTGCAGGGTCCTCTATGGCCGGCTCTTCGGTAGATGGCTCTTCGGTAGTTGGCTCTTCGGCGGGCTCTTCTGATGAGGCGGGAGTGTCTTCTGCGGGAGCATTCACGATAGTGGGGGCTTCTTCAGCAGCAGGTGTCTCTTGAACAGCAGGCGCCTCATCCGCAACGGTGTCTTCCTTCACAGCCGCATCCTCGGGAATCTCTTTGTCCTCCGCCGGAGTATCTTCAACCGGAGTCTCGTCCACAGCAGGCTGCTCTGTTTCTAGCTCTTCGGCGGCGGGAGCATCCTCGGCAATGAGAGCTTCTTCGGTGGAAGGGACATTCGCAGGCTCTTCCGGTGGAGGGGTATCATCGCCTTGATCTGCCGTCGCAGGCTCCATAGCTGCCGCGGGCACCTCTGTTGCTGGCTCTTCGGTAGCAGGCTCCTCGGTAGCAGAAGCCTCTTCGACAGGCGCTGTTTCTGGGGTCTCTACAGCCAGGCCCCTGACCTCGACCGCATCATGCTTCTCGTCGTCGGCAGCGGCATCTTGGGCTTCAGCAGAAGCTTCCCCGCTATCAACCGGGGCGCTCACTTGGCTGTCCTCGGGAACAGCTGCGCTCTCGGCGGCCTCCTCTTTGTCAATTTCCGTGGGCGCGGGCTCGGGAGCCTCTTCTGGTGCGGCCGTCTCTGCGACAGAGTCGTCCTCGGGAGCTTTCTCGGCCTCGGCCTCGGCCTCAGCTTCAGCTTTAGCTTCAGCTTCGGGAGCTGGTGCCCTCTCCTCCTCGGCAGGCTGTGCCACCTCGGTGCTAGTGGCCTCCTCCATGCTCTTTTCAGCCACAGGTTCTTCGGGTTGTGGCTGGGAGTTATCACCTTCGGGGGTCTTGTCTTCCTCGGCCGGCGCATCGACCGGTGGCTCGGGAGCAGTATCCTCGGCCTTCTCTTCGGGCGCGACACCGTTCTCGGCGGGCTTCTCCTCGTCTATGCTCTTGTCCCCTGCAGCCGGTTCGGCTGGAGTTTCTGGCGGAGGTAACGGAGACGGTTCCGCGGATGGTACCGCGCCGGATCGCCGCCCTGTTCTCGCGCGTTTTCGCGTCGGCACGGGAGGCACCGCGGCCTTCATCTGCTCCTCGATCATACGATTGAGTTCCTGGAACACGAATGATGTTAGATGATGCTGCCAGGATTCGGGACGGTTCATCAGCCTTGCTTACCGTTCTCTTCGCCTCGAGTTCTGCCAACTTTGCTTCGCCCTCAGAAATCGTCTTGGCCGTCTCTTCCTCAATGCTGTCCATGAGGTCGTCCATCTCGTCTTCGACATTACGGGTAGTGGTATCAAAAGTGCCTTGCTTCTCCTCGTCTTCCTTGGCCTTGCGAGCCGCGAGCTCCTCGTCTTCCCGCCGGCGACGGGCTTCTCGCTCCTCGTCTTCTTTTCGCCTTTGCTCGGCAATATCTTCCAGCTCTTTCTGGTGCGCGGCCGCGAGCTCTTCTCGCTCTTTTTCGTAAGCCGCTTTCAGCTCTGCGATCGTCATGTCGCGCTTCTGCTCGAGCTCGTCGAGCTTTGTGTCGCTCTCGGCCGCAGATGTCGACAGACCCTCAATCGTCGAGTGGATCGACGCGAGGGCCTCGTTCATCTGCGCCACGAGCGTGGCAACGTCCATCTTGGCTGTCATCGAATTGGGGGTTCGAAAGAGAGTCGGTGCCCTCTGTGACAGGATGATGAGTAAGGGTGTTGTGATTAAGTGGTGTTTCGTGGGATTTGGGCAGTCCCGGAAATCTTGCGTGGGAAAGCAAGTATCGTGAGGTTTTGTGAGTTTGACTTTACTCTGACGTTGAACTGAACGTTCGAAACATCCTCGGCTCTTGCGGGGTGGCCAGCTAGTTTACGATATATACCACCCACCTCCTCCACTCAACCGCTGAAGAACAACAAGCAGACGATACAGTTCCAGCCAAGCGACAAGGCAGGAAAACCCGGCCCTGTGTGATGTTCCTACCAGCGATCATGCAAGTGCTTTCGTCCAGGGCCTGGCCTTGTCCCCCCTTAGTCGGCCGAACCCCCGACCCGATATTGAGAGGAAATGCTCTGTGCTTCCGCGTCCCTCCGTTCCGTGATTGGTGAGACATCACGGCGGACTCCCATCCGATGTACCTGGACTTACTGAGGTGGACCCCGTCCGCCTCACAACGCATGACATCGATATACTATGGTACAGATGGCGATGTCAACTAGGGGCGATACGAGGGTGCTATGGCCGAGTCAAGACTCCTCAACGGGGCCGCAGCCCAGCAACCGGTCATCGCGAAATCGCACCGCCATCGAAGAGGGGATTGGGGAACAGAACTAGCCAACTCTGTCTTGTGGGCAACTTTGGCCTTGTCGCCGAGCAACCTGGTGACAGCTGTCAAATATCGACAGCATCCTCCTTGCCTCGAGCGAGAGTTTTCGGGGGGCTTCATCCAAGGGTCTCCGTGTTCCTGCGTTTGATGTTGTGCCACGACAACTTGGCCATTGGGAACATGGAGAAAAGGGACCCATCTTGGACTCTGGTGCTTTGGTCGTCAAGATAAATCGACGTGGTATGCGTTGGCGACGGAGTCGGTTTTGGTGGACAGGCGTTCCCTGTTAGAAACGAGCATCATTTATGCGCCCGGCACAGAAGGGGCATTGAGAGTTCTGAGCGTCGCTCCATCATTACCACTGGCGTGGAGCCCGGCGTCTAGCAAACCGCTTGGCCGCATGAATACGCTGGAAATGGCCGGTATTGTGACGCATTTGGGCGGTTTCAGGACTCGCACCGGGTTCGGAACGGGAGGACAAGTTGTCAAATTGAAGGATGAAGTCGGATACTGCCGGCTACAAGAGTCCATTTGAGTAGTGTTGGCCTGAGAGGTTGAAGCGTAAAGATTCAACGAGGGATGGAAGGACTCAAGCCACATTGTGGCTTCAACAGCCAAGCATCAAAATAGACGCAAAAGAACGAATTAGTATGACGTCATGTCTTAATGGCTAGGATGTGTCAAACATATGAGTGAGTCTGTGGATGTTTTTCGTTCGTTGTTGTTTTTCTTTTCCTTGATTTGATATATCGCAAACTTTCTCTGCCCAACGTGTCCCCGTCAACCCCGACCATGAGGCTACCTAGCACGCAACTGAGCTCCATTTCTGCGTTGTCCTCAACGTGATTCAGCGATCGAGATGAGAGCTGGCGTGGCATCGCACTGACCCTCCTGAGTCTTGAGGCGGATTGGGAGCCGACGCCTCACGACCAAACGTATCTCTCGCAAGGAGCTTTAGAGGGACGCAATATCATTTGACTTCAGCTCTCATCAAATTGTGACGATATTGAGGCCTCCTGGGTGTATAAGAGCTACATTTATGGCAACAATCCTATTGCATGCGAAAGCCAATTCATCAATACAACGACTTTTCATAGTACATCACCTGCACACCACCATACACATTGACCAACCACACGCGCAATAGGTCTCTCTTATGTGTTATGGTATGATGCGCCTCCAAAGTCCTGCAGGGTAGCTGCCGGCAGACAGAGAGTGGAAGATATGGGGATTGATTGGGCCTATCGCATTCCAGAGTCTTGGGGAGGGGCAAGATGGCCTCATTGGTAAAGTCACATGTTTTTCCATTGCTCGCTCGGCACTTTGGCGGATGATTGATTGAATATGCTCAGTCTGCTCTTGTCATCGACCGAGCATGGCTATTTACTCTGTTCTCATCCTGGAACGATGGACCATGACGTTAGGAATGGTTACCAAAATTGAGAATGGGAATGAGTTCAGTGCACAATCATCGTCAAAATATTACTTGCATAGATTTGATGCCTACGAAGATTAAAGTCGACGTCGTAGTGATTCTATATCGAATTATCAAGTCTCCATGAATCTTCGATGTCTTCAATGGTCGGCGTGAAATCAAAACTACTACACATGACATTCCCTCTAATTCACTACCCCCAGTGCTCTTGCATATAGTGCTTCTGTATCTACATCCGATAATCGGCGTTTTTCTGCATCTAAGGCATTGACTTCTGTGGACGATATCTTTTGATTGACTGGGCCCTTACACCGCCGGCATCGAGACCTTGTAATTCAACTGGACCCGCATGTAACTTGACAAAAGACGGCTGAGCCAAGCCCTGCCGAGAATTAGATACCTCGGAAGGTCCAATGTGTAACTCACACAAATGCAAATATTCCAGACATGGACATGGTCGCCAAATCTAGAGTGCAAGAGACTAGTCCTCCTTCTATGCTCGGAACCTGATTCAAGCAGGCTCACTATGGAGCTCGTGGAATACATTGTGCGAGATCTGCTAGAGTTGAGTTACCTCCACTTCAAAGGCCATTCGTATTCTATCCGGGGGGGTTTGAAAGAGTACTTATGGCGTTGACTGATCGCAAAGTTGACCGTGAAGCTTTGTAACATAAGCGCGAGTGCCTCAAATGATGAATCCGATCTCAAGCAATGCTTGTAGACATGGTTTGAATTCAAAGGCTTGGTAGCAAGGCTCATGGACAACATGAGCAGCTATTGCAAAACCTACAAATTTGAAGATGTCCGCTGAGCTTGCTCGAACTAGGCAATTACCTGGAACACATGGCGCTTCGGGGTCTTGCAAGATAACCAGACTGAAAACAACTCAGAATCATCGGTTCAGAACACGACGGGCTTCTTCGCCGATTTGTAATTAGTCTATCCAGCTTGTAAACACAAAAAAGCGCAGCATCGAACATGGTGAGTCCTCTTCAGGTGTCACGAGGCAGTGGGTGTACCTAAACCCTCTTCGTACGCGAATGTAATGGACAACGTTGATACTAGACACTAAAGAATACGAGCGGGACCTCGCAAGTGACACGAGAAGCAACCACAATGCGTCGATGGGCTCTGGAAATCAGAAAACCACATAGCTCCTTTCCCAGCTTGACTGTACGACTTTCCAAACCGGCTTATGCCGCCATGGGTCAGTCTGACGTTTGAAACGACGTGAGCTTAAGTGATAGTCTTACCAACAGATCTTCTGGAGTGAGAGAAAGAGAAGCTGTATGCTTGCAAAAGACGCAATGACTATTACGATATTATCAACTGGTCAAAGAGAGACACCGGAACGCCATACTAGAAGCACTATTGATACACGCGCCTTGAAGGACGTTTATGATGAATGGCTAATACCAACAACTTCAGTCGTGGAGAAATTAGTGCAGAAATAACCAGACACAACGCGACAAGAGACCATGTCTAGATGTCGATCGGAGCGATTTGTGAACTCGCCGTACTTGACTAGAGAAATCATTTACCGAAGAGACGAAACTTATGGTCAAGGCCGGCAGCCTTCTTTATGTTGTCTTGGTGGGTGTGGATGGGCACAACAATAACGGTTCAGCCATCCTGTTGCCAAGTGCATTAGCAAAGACTTACCCGGCATAGATATACGTGAGAATGTATGTAATCAATATCATGGACCAGGTCTATGAGAGTATCTCCGCGTTGCTGGAGAGAGCTATGCGCTAATTCATATATAAGACTAGAGGAAATTGCAAAATTTCCGGGCTTCAGGCAAACCAGCACCATTGACGTATCATCATTGCTTCGGAAAGAATTGAACATAGTCTACAAGAAGATGACGCAGAAAATCCAACAACAAGAAGTCTATGGCTACCTAGATTAGCGGAAGCTGCCATATACTCAATTGCCACAAGCGTTGAAAAGTCTCATAGATTGAAGTCGTCAATAAGCGCATCACTCCACGACTCTACTCGGCCTTTTTATCCATATATCTCATTATTTAAACTCATCATGGACGTTGTGTACATGTCACATGACCCTCCAAGTGACCTTCACCAGACAATCCCGCAAGGCTGTCGGCCTGCCGTCTACAACCCACCACGAGACTGTGGAAGACTAACCGGAATTGTCCCGTGATTTCTCCGACAGGAATCCCCCAATGATCTTTGACTTCCTCCCGAGATGATATGCTTCTTCGTTCATACGGGGATTGGAAAGGAGGGAGATTTGACCGGTCACGTCTTTGGGTGTCTAGTTACACGACTGATATGAAAACCCTCCGGGGTCCACAGGTACATCTCTCGGTCTACATCAGCTTATATAACCCCGACGACGATGAATGATATCATACAAGCGTCTCAAATGTATCAGGGGCCGACTATAGCACGTAGGCGCCATCTCGGGAAGTTCTAGTCAAAAAGAATGGCAATAGACGATCTCCTCCTCTCCCCACAGCCATCTCTTATGGATGCAACTCGAATACCCCGAAGCGTCAATCACAGAAGCGCGACGAAATGACATAGGTGTTGACGATTTCAATGTACCTTGTTGCAAAGTCTACAAGATCATGTGTATGAAAGCCAAAAAGTTCAATTCGGCAGGATTCCGTCGGATTGAATAACCCTCATAAACACCCCGACAGCAAACCTTCTCCCCACTTGACTATCCAAATACTCCAGAAACCTTAAAGGCTTACCTTCACATCGAAATAGCAAAAGTAGCTAACCTTGATGCAGGGAGGAAATCTGTTATCCCATCTGAGGTGGGTAAATGCATCTTAAGCTTCAACACCTATCAAGCTGTAGTTCAGTTATCTCCAGCAGCACGCCCGTCGCGGATGATTTTTCGCCACGATCATGGCTTTTCCTATGATCTAGCTGAATAAGTACATTAATCTTACATTCGGAATACGAGTTGATATACAGACGACAACCGGACTTCATTAGATAGGTACCCATACTCAATGTACCTCACGCCAATTCAAGTGTCCAGTACCCCTAAGATAACCAACACAGCCCTTGTACCAGGATTGTTCGTCGTGCAGCCAACCTAGTTCCTCCATCAAAGCCGAATTATCTAACCGCCAACACCTCAAGACGGGCTTCCGCCTCCGAATCTGACGTATCTCCCGCCGGCCTTGGCGATCAACTACATCGAG